CTAGGTATTATAAATGATAAAGAATGCTAATAAAGATATGAAATCAATATTTTTTTGAAAATAGCCTACTATGATCAAAACCAAAAATGCTTTAAATTGCATTTTAAAACATATCTTAATATTTTAAATGATTAAGAATGCTAATATAGATATAAAATCGATATTTTTTTGAAAATAGCCTACTATGATCAAAACCAAAAATGCTTTAAATTGCATTTTAAAACATATCTAGGTATTATAAATGATAAAGAATGCAAATAAAGATATGAAATCAATATTTTTTTGAAAATAGCCTACTATGATCAAAACCAAAAATGCTTTAAATTGCATTTTAAAACATATCTAGGTATTATAAATGATAAAGAATGCTAATAAAGATATGAAATCAATATTTTTTTGAAAATAGCCTACTATGATCAAAACCAAAAATGCTTTAAATTGCATTTTAAAACATATCTAGGTATTTTAAATGATTAAGAATGCTAATATAGATATAAAATCGATATTTTTTTGAAAATAGCCTACTATGATCAAAACCAAAAATGCTTTAAATTGCATTTTAAAACATATCTAGGTATTATAAATGATAAAGAATGCTAATAAAGATATGAAATCAATATTTTTTTGAAAATAGCGTACTATGATCAAAACCAAAAATGCTTTAAATTGCATTTTAAAACATATCTAGCTATTTTAAATGATTAAAAATGCTAACATAGATATAAAATCGATATTTTTTTGAAAATAGCCTACTATGATCAAAACCAAAAATGCTTTAAATTGCATTTTAAAACATATCTAAGTATTTTAAATGATTAAGAATGCTAATATAGATATAAAATCGATATTTTTTTGAAAATAGCCTACTATTATAAAAAAACAAAAATGCTTCAAATTGCATTTTAAAACATATCTAAGTATTTTAAATGATTAAGAATGCTAATATAGATATAAAATCGATATTTTTTTGAAAATAGCCTACTATGATCAAAACCAAAAATGCTTTAAATTGCATTTTAAAAACATATCTAGGTATTTTAAATGATAAAGAATGCTAAAAAAGATATGAAATCAATATTTTTTTGAAAATAGCCTACTATGATCAAAACCAAAAATGCTTTAAATTGCATTTTAAAACATATCTAGGTATTATAAATGATTAAGAATGCTAATATAGATATAAAATCAATAATTTTTTGAAAATAGCCTACTATGATCAAAACCAAAAATGCTTTAAATTGCATTTTAAAAACATATCTAGGTATTTTAAATGATAAAGAATGCTAAAAAAGATATGAAATCAATATTTTTTTGAAAATAGCCTACTATGATCAAAACCAGAAATGCTTTAAATTGCATTTTAAAACATATCTAGGTATTATAAATGATAAAGAATGCTAATAAAGATATGAAACCAATATTTTTTTGAAAATAGCCTACTATGATCAAAACCAAAAATGCTTTAAATTGCATTTTAAAACATATCTTAATATTTTAAATGATTAAGAATGCTAATATAGATATAAAATCGATATTTTTTTGAAAATAGCCTACTATGATCAAAACCAAAAATGCTTTAAATTGCATTTTAAAACATATCTAGGTATTATAAATGATAAAGAATGCAAATAAAGATATGAAATCAATATTTTTTTGAAAATAGCCTACTATGATCAAAACCAAAAATGCTTTAAATTGCATTTTAAAACATATCTAGGTATTATAAATGATAAAGAATGCTAATAAAGATGTGAAATCAATATTTTTTTGAAAATAGCCTACTATGATCAAAACCAAAAATGCTTTAAATTGCATTTTAAAAACATATCTAGGTATTTTAAATGATAAAGAATGCTAAAAAAGATATGAAATCAATATTTTTTTGAAAATAGCCTACTATGATCAAAACCAAAAATGCTTTAAATTGCATTTTAAAAACATATCTAGGTATTATAAATGATAAAGAATGCTAATAAAGATATGAAATCAATATTTTTTTGAAAATAGCCTACTATGATCAAAACCAAAAATGCTTTAAATTGCATTTTAAAACATATCTAGGTATTATAAATGATAAAGAATGCTAATAAAGATATGAAATCAATATTTTTTTGAAAATAGCCTACTATGATCAAAACCAAAAATGCTTTAAATTGCATTTTAAAACATATCTAGGTATTATAAATGATAAAGAATGCTAATAAAGATATGAAATCAATATTTTTTTGAAAATAGCCTACTATGATCAAAACCAAAAATGCTTTAAATTGCATTTTAAAAACATATCTAGGTATTATAAATGATAAAGAATGCTAATAAAGATATGAAATCAATATTTTTTTGAAAATAGCCTACTATGATCAAAACCAAAAATGCTTTAAATTGCATTTTAAAACATATCTAGGTATTATAAATGATAAAGAATGCTAATAAAGATATGAAATCAATATTTTTTTGAAAATAGCCTACTATGATCAAAACCAAAAATGCTTTAAATTGCATTTTAAAACATATCTAAGTATTTTAAATGATTAAGAATGCTAATATAGATATAAAATCGATATTTTTTTGAAAATAGCCTACTATGATCAAAACCAAAAATGCTTTAAATTGCATTTTAAAACATATCTAAGTATTTTAAATGATTAAGAATGCTAATATAGATATAAAATCGATATTTTTTTGAAAATAGCCTACTATGATCAAAACCAAAAATGCTTCAAATTGCATTTTAAAACATATCTAGGTATTATAAATGATAAAGAATGCAAATAAAGATATGAAATCAATATTTTTTTGAAAATAGCCTACTATGATCAAAACCAAAAATGCTTTAAATTGCATTTTAAAACATATCTAGGTATTATAAATGATAAAGAATGCTAATAAAGATATGAAATCAATATTTTTTTGAAAATAGCCTACTATGATCAAAACCAAAAATGCTTTAAATTGCATTTTAAAACATATCTAAGTATTTTAAATGATTAAGAATGCTAATATAGATATAAAATCGATATTTTTTTGAAAATAGCCTACTATGATCAAAACCAAAAATGCTTTAAATTGCATTTTAAAACATATCTAAGTATTTTAAATGATTAAGAATGCTAATATAGATATAAAATCGATATTTTTTTGAAAATAGCCTACTATGATCAAAACCAAAAATGCTTTAAATTGCATTTTAAAACATATCTAAGTATTTTAAATGATTAAGAATGCTAATATAGATATAAAATCGATATTTTTTTGAAAATAGCCTACTATGATAAAAACCAAAAATGCTTTAAATTGCATTTTAAAACATATCTAAGTATTTTAAATGATTAAGAATGCTAATATAGATATAAAATCGATATTTTTTTGAAAATAGCCTACTATGATCAAAACCAAAAATGCTTTAAATTGCATTTTAAAAACATATCTAGGTATTATAAATGATTAAGAATGCTAATATAGATATAAAATCGACATTTTTTTGGAAATTTCCTTAAAACCAAAATTGCTTTAAATTGCATTTTAAATCATATCTAGGTATTATAAATGATTAAGAATGCTAATATAGATATAAAATCAATAATTTTTTGAAAATAGCCTACTATGATCAAAACCAAAAATGCTTTAAATTGCATTTTAAAAACATATCTAGGTATTATAAATGATAAAGAATGCTAATATAGATATCAAATCGATATTTTTTTGATAATAGCCTACTATGATCAAAACCAAAATTGCTTTAAATTGCATTTTAAATCATATCTAGGTATTATAAATGATAAAGAATGCTAATAAAGATATGAAATCAATATTTTTTTGAAAATAGCCTACTATGATAAAAATCAAAAATGCTTCAAATTGCATTTTAAAACATATCTAGGTATTATAAATGATAAAGAATGCTAATAAAGATATGAAATCAATATTTTTTTGAAAATAGCCTACTATGATCAAAACCAAAAATGCTTTAAATTGCATTTTAAAAACATATCTAGGTATGCAAGGTATTTCACCGTTCTAGTTACGAAGCTCGGTTCGTGTGTTGGTTGTAGTATTTATGTCATTGGCATAGAATATGCCTCCTTTGCTAGGTATACAAGGATATATTAGCATCTGGATGACTTCCTTATGTCATCTTGCGCACGCGACTTGTGACTATGTACATTGCAGGGTTCATCAGGTCTTATGACGTACTCGTCACTTTGTAATGTGCAGAGCTTTCAAGTGGTTCGGATCGTACTATAAACTGTAGGTCTATAGGGTGTGGTACAATAGATTCTGTTCTAATTTGAATCGCAGTGCCTCCAGCTGAAAGGCTGGGCTATCACATATTATTATTATTATTATTATTATCCTATTTATTTAAAAACACTAATTTTATTCACACCGTTTTCACGTGTGAATCTATTAGTTTTGTTCAGTTTGAAAAATCAGTTTTACCTTCAAACTTATGCTGAGCGAAGCTCAGCTGACTCTCTAGCTTTATAACTTCAAACTTTTGGTAGGCGGTCTAGTTTACAAACTTATGCTGGCGATGAAGACTTTCTATGGTAAGAGTCCATAGTCGCTAATGCTGTGACTCGTCTAGCTTTATACCTCCAAACATTAACTGAGCGCAGCTAAGCTGGTTCGTCAAGGTTTATACTTTAAAATTAATACTGAGCTAAGCTTGGTCTTTCCACAAGACTTTTGATGGTACGGTGTGAATATATATAAGAACTGTAATCTAACATAAGTCAAACGCGGAAGCTAGGACTTTCTACGTAAGTCGTGTTTTTTTAAGTTAAATTAGATTAAATGAAAATCGTTTTTAAAAACTTCATTAACTGCTTTATAAGTTCAAATTTTAAAAAAGAAAAACTTAAAATCAAACTAATTCCGTTAAACTTTCACAAGACCATGCTTGCAAAATATTTTCAAATCAGCCGCGCAATATTTGCGGCTATGAATGTCTGGATCTATGACAGACTTTCGATTCAAGCTTGTAATTTGTTTATAAAATCAGTAGCAATCGAATCAAAAATACTTGATTTTCATTAATTCTACACCATGCATAATATCGGCATTGGAATATTTGGGTGCAGTGAAGTGACTAAAATTGTCGTGACCCTGCTGCGTGAAAAAGGATTTAATGTTCAAGCGATTTGGGGAAAAACTAAGGAAGAAGCACAGGAATATGCAAATGAATTGAAAATTCCATTTTCCACAAATAAAATTGATGAAGTTCTGTTGAGGAAGGATGTTGACTTTTCATTTGTTCTATGTCAGCCTTATTTACATTCACACATTGTCGTTAAAAGCCTTGGAATTGGAAAACATGTACTCTGCGAGAAGACTTTAGGAATTAATGTTTTGGATGCACAGAAAATGGTAAATAGTTTTGTTTATAATTCTGTGGATTAATTGATTCTCATATGTCACATAGGTTCATGCATCAGAATACTACCCATCCTTAATAAATTTGGTGAATCATTCGCTTAGATTTTTACCTGCTTTTGTTCATATGAAGAAAGCAATTGCTGAAAATTATATTGGAGAGCTTTCATTGATTGATGTAACTGTTAAAATTTCTACTTTGATACATGGTAATTTACCACTATACGCTCTCCACACATGCTTTACATTTCACCTTAATTACTCATTTTTGTTTTCTTTTGTAGATAAATTCGATTGGCTATGCGATGATCATCAAGGAAGCGGCTGTCTCAATTTAATTGGATCACATGTGATAGATTTATGTCATTTTTTGACTGGCAAAAAAGCAAAACGAGTTCACGGCATTATAAAAACTTTTAGACACAAAACACAGTCCATACATGGAATTCGACAAATTACTGCCCCAGATTTCTGCAATTTTCAGCTCGAATTGGAAGGAAGTCCGAATAGTCAAATTCTTGTGACGACAAACATACAAAGTAATGATGGATATAGAAATGGATTTGAGCAAGATGTCTCAATTGTCGGTGAATTAGGGAATTTGAAAGTTATTGGTGGTGATTTAATTTGTATACGAAGGAAAGCTGGTGACGACAATGCTGATTATAAGGAAGAGAAATTATATGTTGAAATTCAGGACATGCGAACATCTGAATCATCTTCTTCCATACCTCGCCAATATGTCAAAGGAATGAGTAAAATGTTTTCTGCACTAAAAGAAGCTTTCACAACTCCATCGTCGAATTCAAACTGGAATAAAGAATCTGTAGCCGCAGCAGCCAATTTTAATGACGGACTTTACGTTCAACAAGTTATTGAGGCAATTAAGAAGTCAAGTGATACACGATCATGGATTAAGGTTGAAACGGCGACGTTAAAGGACTGACTTCATATTTATTAGGGCAAAATGTAAATTTTTCTGTTAAGTTTTAGAACTGGGACTAGATTAATTTGAGTATAATTAGGATATACCCATTGCACTCACAATAAAAGTCATCAGAAAATTATATGTGGGTTTATCCAGATATACCAAAATCCCGTCCCTGTGATTTGTAAAGAATTTACTACTTAAAAGCTTCTTAGGCACGCATAATTGATTAATAATTCAAGTATTAACATTAATCTGACAACTAGTTGTGCTTAATATAATCTTAACTGAATGGATTAACTTATTGATCTCTTGAAGCTGATTATATTTCTGTTGAATCACAATACTAGGAAAATATTTGACAGAGACACAAGTGTCTAGTAAAACAAAGAAGTTTTGGTGACAAGAATCAAGAGATTAAAATGTTGACACGTGGAAAGCCTTAGTTTTTGGTAATTTAGATAAGATTGTTGGTGTATTTTCGAATTTCTATAACATAAATGTAATTTTTATTTATCTTGAAACTTATTTTTCATGTCATTAAATTAAAAATTAATGTTGTAAAACAAAAAAAAAGAAGTAAAAAAAATAACAATAAAGAACCCAAAAATGACGAAAATAATGAAAACTAATGTTTGAAACTATGATTAATAATATTTTTTTAATTCTTTTTTTTCCAATTAGGAATGTAAATCAACCTTCAAAAAGAAATTAATATAAAAAACCATTTACTTAAATAAGAAATTACTTTATGCTTAATACAGAGCTGTTAACAGTCAAGCTCACCCAACTCTGATTATCATCGTTTAATTATTATTATTTTTATGATTTTCTTTTTTGTGCAAAAAATTTCTTTCTACAAGTTTTAGTGCAAAAAACATTTCATTTCCTACATAACATTTATCAGGTGCTTATCCATGATTTCAGTGCGGTTTTGTTTCATTTTAAATGCATTGCATTATATATTCTGTTTTGTTTGATTTTCATTGCTATAAAATCCATAATTATTGGTTCCAAATGACAAAATTTATAGCACCAAGAATCAAGATTAAAATTTACTAATATTTTTTTTTTATAACGATCATAGTCGAATGAGTTCCATCATTACAATAAAATAGCCAGGAACACATTCAGATAATAAGCGATTTTCTAACGTTAAAATGTAGGATATCATTTTTAGATCATGGGATGTTGCGTTTATTGGTTTACGTTGTATTGTTCAGGCAGAACATACGAGATGTCATCCCATGGATGTCTGTAAAGTCCTTGCTTCAAGCGCTTCTGATCCATGAAGTGACCAATAAATCCGATGCTTCGTCCCAACACGAACAATGAGTTTATAGCTCCAATGTTTATGTATTCTTGTGCTTCCTCGCTAAAATTTCGTTCAATTAGTTATTCATTTATATACATTTATTTATTTTTATAATAAAGGTGGTCAGAACATAGAAATACTTTATAGATTTGAAAGGAACTTACCTTGAAAATGCACCACAATTTCTGAGCATGTCAACAAAGCACGTAGCAATAACTCCGTCAACATTTAAAATTAAATTTGGTTTTTTGCTTGTCGTGATCTTTTCAACTTCAAGTGCATATTCCAATAATGGCTTTGAAGGGAAGTTTTCGAGTACAAAATCTTTAATAATTTTAACACGAATATCTGGATTGTTGATTGATTTTACACGATGTCCAATTCCCATAATAAGTTGTCCCTTTTTGCGCATCGAATTAACAAAGTCCATTGGATGCATATTCGAATCGTATGCTTCTGAGAATTGTTTTGCAGCTCCATCAAGTGCACCGCCGAAACGATCACCCTAATTTAAATGAAAAATCATATTAACGGTTAAAAAATTATCTCAAATATTAATTGTGAAAATATATTTGAAAGTAAATCAAAATCTACTTTTAAAAAAAAATAACGATTTGTACTTACAATAGTCAATAATCCTGAAACTAATGAGGAAACCAGATCTTTTCCAGCACGAGCACAAACGATTGTATTGTGAGCACCGCTGACAGCTGGTCCGTGATCAGCAGTAACCATTAGACACATTTCAAAGAATTTACAGACGTATGGAGGTAAGCAGCGTTGAAACCACAAGAGAGAAACAACTCCACCAATACCGACGTCTTTTGTGAGAACTTCAGAGATTGGCATTCCTGCATATAGCAATTCTTGTCCACGCTCGTCACAAATTGAGGTCATGAATGAGGCTGGTTTACGAATTAAACCTAATTCTCTTGCCCAATTGTAATCCATTGGAACGGTAGGAGGGGGAACTTCTTCAGCAGGCACAATCTGTCCACTGTGTACCATATCTTCATAAACATGAGCAATCAGATCTCCAAGTGTATCAAATGATTCAGGGACATGAGCACCAGCTTCCGCTAATGCCTTGTTCTTTGATAATGCTGTTTCCAGATCAGATTGAGCACAAGAACCGGCATGTCCAAATTGAACTTCCGATGTAAACATTCCAGCACAAGTTCCAATACACCATGCGATCAATGGTTTTGTAATTCTTCCGTCCTTTAATGCTTCACAAATTTCATATTCCTCAACGCCACCGACTTCTCCAAGAACAACAATCAATTTTGCATCATCGTCATGTTGATATCGCATAATATGATCCATAAAAACTGTTCCTGGATATCGATCTCCTCCTATGGCAACACCTTCCAATACACCATCTGTTGAGTTGCTAATAATATTGTTGAGCTCATTTGACATTCCACCGGAACGTGAAACGTAAGCAACGCTAATTAAAATTAAATTAATCCAAAATTACTTTCAATATTTACAAACTTGTTAATTTGGACAAAAAAATAGGACTTGAGTGAATAAATTTGTTTGTCAATTACTCGAGTAATTGTACTTTCATAATTTCTACAAGTCAACTTTAAAAACATTTGAGAGGTGTTCAAGAGAACATTTGTATGGTTTCAAAGAAATCTGGACTTTTAAAAGGTTTTGAAGCATTTTAATAGGAAAAGTCATTTGAAGGGTTTTGAGATTGTATAAGAAAATTTGAATGGTTTTCAAACGTTAATGGGTAATAATTTATTTACAAACCTGCCAGGACGATATAATTTTGAGTGTAAGATGTTATCGAGCATTCCACCAGTGTTTCCAATTTTAAAGCAGCCAGGTTTAACTCCACCGACAGTAGCTGGTCCAATAATTGATACTTTCTTTTCATGTGCTGCTGAGTTTAATTTACGAGTCATATTTTCTGGAATACCTTCAGCAATAATAGCAATTGTTCTAATTTGTGGAAAGTCATTGACAACTTCAAGTGATGATTCATAAGCAGAACGAAGTGATGCAAAATTGACAAGTACATCAACATCCTTGTGCTTGTTCAGTGCGTCAGCCATTTTACTGTAAACTGGAATCAAGACTTCCTTATGTCCCCAATAAAACTTTTGACGATGATATCCAGTGAATGGATAGACCATAGCAGCAACTGATGCTTCCTCTCGTCGACAAATGAAGTCAAAATCCAACATTGACTGAACAGCTCTTGTTTGCATTCCCCAAACGATTGCCTTTGTATTCTTTGAGAACAATTTTCGGTATTCCACTTGATTTAAGCTACCAACAACTCTTGGACTGGTTATCTTTGATGCTTGATTAGAACCTGCAGGAGAACTTATTGAAATTCTTTTCGAGCCTTTTCCAATATCAAGCAAACAAAGATGTAATGATGGGAATTTAAATATATGGATTTAAATGTGAGTGTTTTTTTTTGTGTGGTGTGTGGATCAAATGACATATAAAGGATGATTTGTATTTTGGTGGATATCAATGATCGATGGATAATACAAATTTTTATAAGTTTAAGCAAGCATTACGATGATTACAAAACGGAAAAAAGAACAAACAAAAACGAATTAAAAATTAATGTAAATCTACAAAGGAATCCATTCACAAATGACGTCCATTAATGTGTATAAACAGCATTCTATTTCTGAGAAAAACTTGAAACGTCATAAATGAAGGACCCTCCAAAAAATCAAATTCCAAAATCAATCGATTAATTTCAAACTACATATTCTAGATGTGGGTATATCTAAGTGCATAAAATCAATCTCAAAGAATTTATGGAATAGAAAAAATATAGACATAAAGTGAAAGGATAATAGCACAAAACAAACATGCTTACCTTCAGCTCCTGGAGAGGTTTGACTAGAGGTCATTTTACGTTGTTCTTGTTGTTGCTGTCCACTTGGTAATAAGAAATTGGCAGTTGCAAAGTGAAGATCGGCAGCATTTGGGATTGGTTTCTTACCCAATGCCATTCCGCAAATTGCTGTCATGTGAGTTTCTGGACCGAAAACATATAAAGGAATGCCAAGAGTTGCACCAATCTCTCTCATGCGACGTAAACCTTCCTGATAATTAGGTCCAGCACGTCGAACGAAGACTGATACTTGATGCTCAACGAGTCTTGCCATGAATTCACGTAATGCAGTAATGATTCCTTTAAAAATAGAGAAGATAACGGTTGAATAAAATTTGATCAGATTCTTAAGAAAGTTCATTCAAAATATTTTTTGAAAATTAAAAATAACGGTAAAAAATGATTGTTAAAAATTACCGCTGAATGTTGCAGCAACGTTTGTAAAATTGGCAATTCCACCACCAATGATTAAAACTTTCCCTTCCGGATGTTTTGGTGATGATGTCATGAGATTAAGAATGGTTTTTGCATATTCATAAGTTTGTTGTTCAGAAGGAGCGCCAGAGTATTCGCCATAATTTGCTAATTCTGATGCACCACCATAATCACATATTGTATCAGAGTAAATGACACTGGCACCGCCTCCAGCAACCATTGTCCAAATACGACCAGTACGATTAAGAATTGTTAACTTTAATGATGCACCGGATTTTGCGTCTAAATCGGCAATATAAGCTTCTTCAGGATAAGCATCACGGCCAAAAGGCGGTGGATATTCAATGTCACCCCATTTTGGACGGCAAATGAAATCAGCTGTCGCATCAATCTTTGCAGCCAGATCCAAAATGTAGATTGAATTGTCAGTAACAACGAGTGGATTAATTTCAAGATATGTAAAGTAGAGATCAACATAGAGCTGATAAAGAGCATAAACGAATTTCGCGACACGTCTGTAAAATTTATCATTTAGTTAAAAAAATATTCAATAAAGGTCAAAGATTTTCTTACGGTTTTTTTGCTGCTGAAATTTCCGTTAATAATTTCTTTTCAATATCATCCATTGACAATGTTGATCCAACAGTAACTTCCAATTTGAGAGCTTTTGAGTCAACATCTCCAATATCAACGCCACCTTGATGATAAAACAGAATTGTATCGGCAGTTCTGTGCGAATAAATGCAAACATAAGCTTCTTCAGCATCTTTATGTGGAACAAATGGCTCGATAATGAAATTCCTTAGCTTTCCTACAGCATTTCCAATTTTTTGATCTTTTCCCATCCGTTCGTTGACCCATTGTTTGACTTGCTGGAAATTCTTATTGACTGCGATCAAACCTAATTTGCCACGTCGTTTAATAAGCTGATCTGGTTTTACGACAAGTGGCTGCAAAAAAAAAAAAAAAACAATTATATATTCATGGCATCTGGCCAAACTGTTTTAATTTCTTAACAATGGAAAGAAAGAATTCTGATCAAGACTTAAGAGTGAGACATAAACCGGAATTCAATTTTTAAGACCAACGAAAAAACGTGAAACGATGTGAATGACTATGTTTGCACGTGATTTTTATTTTGTGTTGTATACATTCTTTCCTCAATTCACTCACTGACTTCACGAGACTGCATAAATTATCATTGAAGGTCAGTTAAGTGGTAATTAGCTTATTGGCATATTAACCATCAAATCTAGTGGGGTTTAATCTCTTTTAGAATGATTAATAAGATTCATAAATGTCAGAATATCAAGTACGAAACTAAAAAGAATTGATAAATCAAGAATCTAGATAAATAAATTGTGGCTTGTAGATAGATTGAATAGACATATTTTACAAACAGATAAAATATTAATGTATAATTGTTAATTGAAACATATTTACAAAACTGACCAAATACCAAATATTGGATTTATCTATAGACGATACTAAACAGAAGCACAAGTTTTGTATTTATTCAGCTTTTTCCTCATTAATGTCGCAATTTTTTGAAAGGTACAAAAAGATGTTAATTAAATAACATCCTTTGATGTATGATATTATTCAAAAATTAATACTGCTGAAAATTTAAGCCACCCCCCTACTCATCCAATGTATTATAAAACTGTGGAAAAAATTAACATGGTTTAAGCAATATTATATTAAGTTTTCTTAAAATATCATCGAATTACGCAAAAGGTTTAATGATATATGCTTAAAAGCTTAGTAAAACTGCTGGCATTGAAAAAACTCGACATTGACCTCTAAGGATTTTAGAAAAAAAACCTCTTTGATCATCACATCAGTTTAAAAGTCAATAGCAGCACAAAAAAAAATTCTTTGACGTCACACAAGTACGCTCGAACTGGATGTGCAAAAAAATAATAAAACTAATAATATTGCTTTAGTGCTGGAATGAGCAGTAATTTCATGGTTGTTGTTTTCTTTCTAAAGAGTTCTTTGATTTAATATATTTTTCTCTGTCATCCTTCCCAACTGATAATGACTGTCGCAAAAATACAAGAAAATTAATAAAAAAAGATCGAAGATCAGGTGATTGTCGTATGTCTTTTTGAGACAGACACACAGCAATCACGGCATTCTCATATTTTTCGCACGAGTGACTTTTGATTAATAATGGCGATAATTACATTATGTTTTGATTTAATGCCACATTTTTATCACCTATTTCATAACAATATTAAGCAGATGACTCAAAATATAATGAGATTATTTAATATGTCCAATTACTTTGTAATTTTTTTTTATGTCAGTACATGTCGGTTTCTTTCAGTCATACGACAAAGAGACATACATGTAAGAGATATCTGACGAAATCATTCAAATAATCAATTTTTAAAGTAAATACGTCCACGTCGGCGAAAAACTGTACAAATATTTTTCTTTGAACCAAGAGATTTGACGAAAAAAACAGGTTTATGGAACTAGAGATTCCTAAATTCCCAAAAAAGCAGATTATGACACATTATTAGATATGAAGAATTTTAACGAGTCACTGACTAGTTGACAACATCCAAAAACAAGACACAGTGAGAAAATTAAAAGAGAAAAGAAACGCGATGACCTACAAGTAGTCAAACACTGAGTGACATAAATAAATTCATTAATATTAAAAGGGTTTCATCGTCCAGCCGCCACAAATTGTCATCTTCACAACTCTTGGGAAATTTCTCTTCTCAAATCATGAAGCTATAAACAAATAATAAAAGTACTTACTGTTGACTCAAGCCATGGATGTTCGACGACCAATTGACTCCAATCTGTGGACTCAGTGACTGATGCAAAACGACTTTTCTGAGTTCCCGTCTCGTTTCCACCTTCCAAATACTTATTTATCAATTCTTTTCCAGTTGCTTCACGGATTGCTTTTGCCGACATGATTTCACTTGATCACACTTCACTTCCAATTCCAAAATAAAAACGTAATCAAATATAAATAAAAACAGTTTGTTGTGCTTCTTTTCCTCACTATTAAGTTAATTGAAAAATAAAATCAGTATCAATATTGGGTGATTGTTGGACAGGCAGTCGGTGTCGGATGATGATAACGTATGAAAGACAAAAGAAAGTGAAAATGTTTGATTAAATAATCGGAATAAAAAAACACAAGTAGTTTAAAAGCAGGCAGGCAAACAGGTAGAGATATGTGAGATATTAGTGTGTTGGCTTTAAAAGTGCATTTCTTCGTCACGAATTTATTATTATTTCTTTTTCGGTGAAAGTTGTTGCTTTCCTTCTTTTGCTCATCAGTTTCTACTAGCTTAACAGTTGTATATATTTTACGAATATGTAATGAAAACGAGAACTGACCATAATGAAAAAGTTTAATTTTGTGTGTTAAGGGCATTTGACGTAGTTTACATTTTGCACGGTATTATTATAATATCATTTAATAGACACCAGTAAGGAAATACCGCGAAAGTGGCACTTGCGTTAATTCAGTCCACGACACAAAGTATTTAATGCTATTTACTTTACTTTACAATAAAAAAAACCAATAAACTTGATAATATATTGAATTGATAATTGAGTAATACGTAAATAGGTGAATTTAGTACTAAATAGCCAACTTTCATTACATTTCCTACATACAAACGACCGTTGTTGTGTGTATTTGATTGACGATTTATTGAAAAGAAGCTTTAATTAAAAAATAGTGATGAGCATATATACTGATTGTTGTTGATTTTTTGCGTTATCAGCCATGCACTTTTTTTCGCGCACTAGTCATTATAATATGAACTAAACAAATTGCCTTCCGTACGATTTAAACGTATGACATTGATCGTATGATTTTTTAAGCAGCCAATTGTAATCTCATATAATCAGATATTGTTAGGGACTTTATTTGTTATTTATTATTTTTTTTGCAATGAATACAGCACGAATTCGTGATTTTAAGGAATGCATTTTTGTCTATTTAATGAACTCTGTAGCTGCCTCGCTCAACAGCAATAATTCGAAACATTTCATTTGCATTAAATTACATAAAGTAACGTTTTATTTTCTTTACAAACACTCACGTTATTTATTTTAGTGGATCTAAGCTTAATACCGAACTGCTTAAAAAGACAGCCAAACGTAGACTAATATGCTGAATGAAGTTCGTTGAATATTTTTTGGAGAGACTTGGCAATAACGGATAAGACACACAGAACAGAAATGGAAGAAAACAAAATTGAGCATAGCTCGAGAGAGCGAGAATAAGAAACGAACGTGGAGTATAAAGGTACTATTAAGACGAAAAGTATAAGAAAAAAAAAATATGACGTTAAAGAATCAGAAAATCGATAAATTGCGTATGAGATTTTCGGCAATAACATCCAAGCTATAAGATCCTCTCATAATGGCTGAGAGACTTACGGGATGTGAGAGTTGGTACGAATTTCGTAATCTACAATTATTTTTCTCTAAACATTACACTACATTTTTTGTAGTTTTTCTTATCAAATACACCAGGCAGTGGCAAATAAACAACAACTTAATTAAATTAAATGCAATTTTTTAAAAAATAAAAATGTCAAATAAACAAAGTAAAATTATCGATTTACAAATGTTTATGTTAATTTTTGTCATTACATTGAACTTGATAATACGTGTAAGGCCGCAAAGGAACTTGAAATTGTATTAATTATTTAAAATTTCTTCCAGCCCTCTTTTTTGTCATCAAAAAAAGAAAATTTTAAGCGAGAGAATCGGCAAATATTGATTAATAGCTTTTTTCACTTACCTCAACACTTTATCTTGATAATTCCACAAATGCCGAGGCTTAATGATCTTTATTCTCCTCACTATTAGGTTCAAATGATGGCTCGTACACAAGTTATTTAAATATTTTCATAGACGAGGAGTTTATATTTTTGCACAACTAATTCGCCTTAAACTTTTCATAAATAACGTCACCAGATATATTTTACGATGAACTCGATGATTAAGGCTGATGTCAATGTGATAGCTTTGTTTTAAATTGAAGTAATCTAGTTTATTATGTTAAATAAGACTTAATTTGATAATTTATTAAATGTAAACACTTGATTCTGTCGAATTTGAAATCGTTTTAAAACTTAACCGTTAAAAAATTCTAATCTCACAATTTTCTCCAGTGCCTTTTTTGGATTTTACACTATTTAAAGTTTTAAGTTTATTAAATCCAGTGATTTCTATTTTGATTTAAACAATGTTTTTATTTTTTTGCTGTTTTTAAATGTCGTAGAACTCTAGATTGTATTTATGATTATATTAGATTTAAAAAATGGGTGCGTTTAAAATTATTGGGATCTTTGATTTGAATCATTGCAATTGAAGAGGAAAAGGGGAGAAAAGCTATGATTTGTCAATCAAACTGAAGTTATTCAAGTGATAGACCCCAAGTAAAAAGTTTTAAGGGTCAGTAATATTATTAAAAAGTTTAACGCAATTTTCAAGCAGTTTAAAACTCTTGAAAATGGTTAATTATAATGAAAAACACAGGAGATTAGTGGTTAAAGGTGATATAAAGTGAAATAAGATGAAGTGCAGGCCGAAAAATAAGGAAACATAAATTTTATGTTTTACGCTTCATGTTTTATTTGAAATTTAAGGAAAATGTTTTGAAAAAGTTGTGTTTTGTGTCATAATATTGATCTTGAACTGTTTATTAATCAGTGTATGTTGGTGAACTTACGACAAATTATCAAGAAAAGATATTTAAATAGCTTAAACTTTCTCAGAAAAAACATACAGTAGAAAATAAAGAAGTGAGAGAGAGAAAGAGAAAGATCCATTAAAAATATACAGCAAGCAAGAAGAAGCAGAAAGAGGAACAAACATATATATAATATGGCAATAAACAATAACAACTCAACAACAAGATCGCAATTACAGGCGATTGTTAATAATCCGTATGCAATTCGGCAGGAAATTCAACGGTTTGAGTCTGTGCATCCTTCAATCTACGCCGTTTATGACTTAATAGAACTCATTCCTGACTTACAAATCGCTACTCAAATACGAGAGCATATAGTAAACATTGAAGGTTAGTAGCTAGCTGGTGCTGTGCTGTACATTTCTGTGCGTGGGATGAAATTATATTGTAATATGCTGCAATTATTTAATACTTGCAAAAGTTCAGCACACAAGTAACTTATTTTAATACAGCAACAACTATGTGTAATTTTCGCAGTCTAAAGGATGTATGATGATGATTCATGCCAAAAAATCGATTTATTTTTATAGGCACTACCGGTGAAAAAAAGAGTCAAGCGTCATATTATGTGACAAGACTTGATATAACTTGTAATGGCACTTGATGCTATTTCTCGAACGTATCCTCCCACAATAAAATTGTTAACTCAATTGATTTTTCAATTTCCGATGATAAGACATTCCGATGCAAAACATCATTATTTCTCCGCTTCTGTACATGACTATGACTGTGCTGTGCTGTGTGACTACAAAATGGATCAATAACAGTAGAAAGATTTTTATCTCTTCTTTTTTTGCAAATATATATATATGCACAGCATAAACATAGTCATAGGATGGTCGAATGCATAATAGGAATTTTCATCTCCCTCCTCACAATTTTTATCTTTTTTTTTTTTGGGAAACTATCCAATAATTGATTCATTTTTAACATGACACATAAAGCTATTTATGTCTATAATTTAATTTAAATGCCGAGACTGATTCCCTGCATGACTATATTTATTATTATTTTGCCCAAACCGATTATTATTATTTTGATTCTTTAACAAGCTATTGTGAAATTCAATAAATATTATGAGATATGTTCTCCAATAGCACAAACTAGATTATTCATGTCATTATGCGATTAGAATAAATGATGTGCGCGCCAGCATATAGTTTTGATCAATTGTTTGCTAATCTTTTAAAAGTCAGATTTTAAAAATTAATTCTCGGATTTAAAGTGCTCTGTCGCAAAATAAGTTCAATTAAATTTCAACAGTATCTCCAAATTCAAATTTTTAGCTTCTTCCCCTTATGCTTAGTTTTGAGCATTGCAATGGAAACAAGCAATTTTTTGCATCTCTTAGTTTTACTATTTAAGCTTCTTAATCAGTGTAATTAATGATTTTAATTTTTTATAAAATTTTGTTGTTTTAAACAAACGTTTGGGAAATTTGAATTTTTGACAGTAAAACGACTAAGCCCTAAAGCAATTATGGCGAAGTAAGTAATGATGAACGAATATCTAGTAACAAAAATCTTCTAATTAGCATGCAAAATTCGTTTCTATTGATCGAGTGACTTCCGTTATTGCCAAGAAATTTTGCTTCTATGCATTCTTAATTCAATCGATTGAATTTGGCTGACGAAAAAGGAATGGTGCAATTAATTAATTAGCGAAAAGAACTAAGTCATTAATGAACAGTCATAGTTTTGTCGTATTTTCTTATCAATTTGTTGCAATAAATTTTTCGCTAGCTGTTATTTTAACATCAGCATTAACTGATAAGGGTCGAGTATTAATAACAATGTGTCTCGTGGAAGATACTCAACACTATGGCAAATCGAGTGAAGATGTAGTTTCCGGAGACTGAAAATAGGCATTTACATTCAAATTTTTAAAAAGCTATCGGCTATGAAGAATTTAAAAAAATATAACGTTTTATAATTTGAATATCTCAGACAGATGGACAATTAAAAGACGGTGACATTCAGAAAGTATGCTAAAAAGTATTGAATGAAATTTTTAATGACTATAATGATGATGATTGTATGTATAGTATTGATATTTTTAAACTGTGTGTCATTTTAATACAACGAAAAGCGAAAAACCTATACGCTAAAAAATCTTTTTTCGAAATCAGTTTGTGGCTGAATATGAAAGAGAAAACATATGATCGTCAAGTATAAATTAATTTTTTGTTTTTTGTGGAATAGTTCTTTTGTTTTCTTAAAGAAGTCATTTGTTGTGAATGGAAAAGTGCTTAATGTTCAATTGTCTGATAACTGTACATTATGAATTTGACATTAATTAAAAATTTCTTCACGTCGGACAAAAGTGAGCCTGCCAAAATCAGTCGAGTAATTAGACGTTCCTTTCGCATAAAAAGAAATTCAAATAGCATTCATGAAAAACGGAAATCTGGTAAATAATAGTCATGTCTATGCGTAATTTCTGCTTAATTCTGTCCAAGATCATGAAATGCAGTCACCGCAAATGATGATGATCACCCACTTGAGATGTCTTAAAAATATACACACAAAAAAAAATATTGCTTGATATGATTCATTGTGCAAATTCGCGTCGTCATAAAGATTCTTTTCCTTCATATCTCGTTACAGATTCCTTTGTTAACAGCCAAGAATGGACATTATCAAGGACGGTGCCTGACATTCGCTTAGGAATTGTTGGATCATTGAATTCAGGCAAGTCAGCACTTGTTCATCGGTACTTAACTGGAAGTTACATGCAAGAGGAGTCACCCGAGGGTGGAAGGTTTAAAAAAGAAGTTCAAATTGACAACCAAAGTTATTTGCTATTAATACGTGATGAAGGAGGCTCACCCGAATTGCAGGTACATAGATACATTTATCCTCTTTATTGCTCAACTCTGTTTACAACAGTCTTTCTGTGTTTTTTTTCCGCAATTGTTTATTGTTCTTTTTTCTGTCTATCTCTGATTTTTTTTATAATTTTACTTTTTTCAAACAATTCAAATTGTTAACTCCTCTCATATTTTACATCTAATTCTTTTAATCAACAGTTCTCAGCTTGGGTTGATGCGGTAATCTTTGTATTTAGTCTGGAGAATGAAGCGAGCTTTAATGCAATATATGCATATTATACGAAAATGTCACACTACCGAAATGTTGAGAACATTCCGATTATTTTGGTTGGAACTCAAGGTAACAAAATTTACTTATAAATAGTGTGTAAAATGAGAATTGTGCTGTTAAATATAATAATAATAGTAATCCTTTATTTGAATGCATGAAAAATGTCGGAACAAAAATAAAGTTTTTTTGATATTAACCTCGTCGGTTTTAAATCAAATTTTATACTGAGATATGATTAGTGATATGACATGATTTAGACTTTGAAAATTTGAGTTTCGGTCAAAAAAAAATTTTTTTAAAAAAGACCAAACGCTGTTAAAATACACTAGAGTTTTAGTGCTTTTGACATGAAAGTGACATGTGTAGAGCGAGTCACAAGGAAACTTTTTTTTTATTATCGTATTAAAACTAAAGCTAGAAGAAAATCAATAAGAATCGTAATAATAAAATTAATGTTTCCTCATTCGATGTATTAAGATTAAGATATTTGTTATGTTTGACTGGTTTCTTCCTTTACTATATTAATTTTTAAAATTCTAACGATTTTCAAAAATTCAAATTTTAAAAGAATAAGGTGGCAGTCGGTCAAAATGAATACAATGCTAAATAAGTGTGTCTTGGATAAAAGTGTGTGTAGAAACTGGTCAATGGATAAATTTCTATATTTGGCAAACTCTTCATGATATCAATTCTGATATTTATTATAATATAAGCATCAAGCGGAGTCTTAATTTTATTAAATTTCTATGTAAATTTATAATCACATATACTTATGTGTGTGATAAGACACGGTAAACGAGAAGACTATTTTTTTTATTAATTCTTGCCATTTCGACTCTTTCCTTATTTTCTAATAAATAGATGCTATTTGCGAGCGTTGTCCGCGTATTATTGATGATTCAAGAGCACGAAAACTCGCAAATGACTTAAAGCGGTGCTCGTATTTTGAAACGTGTGCAACTTATGGACTTAATGTTGAAAGAGTTTTTCAAGAGGCTTGTCAAAAGATTGTTCAATCACGTTCAATTATTCCTGCACTGACACCGACAAATTCACGACCTACAACGCCCACGACTCGCTTAGGTGTTACATCTTTACACGGCTATAGTTTCGGACAATCACAAAATATGAGTCCTACAAATACAAATGGCATCACAACAACAGCGCCTCCTGTTAATGCACTTAATATAAACAGTTTATCGCCAAGTCATCATCTAAATTCTTCATTACCTCATCACAGACAACACAGTTTGTCTTCAACATCTAGTCATGTACCAGTGAATAAAGCAAACAGTGATTTATCAAGCTTAGATGGATCATCACATAGTCCATTAATGGTTAAAAACTCGAATATATCATTACCGCAGCAGTCACAACCGCAAGGTCTTATAACAATGCTTGGAAGTGATAACAATAATATGAATATGAAGTTTATACAGCATGAACGTTCTTCGATGCCACCACCAAGTTCATTAGAAAATCTTCAATTATTAAGCATCATACCATCATCATCATCATTGTCACAGTCACAAAAAGAAAAGGAATTACCAACACCAACAAGTACACCGACTACATCAAGAAAGTCTCGTCGTCGATCAAATCTTTTTATTCCATCAAAGAAAGAAGACAAATTAAAGAATGTTGAGACAGACAAATTGGGTAGCGGAAGATCAATTCCCATAAAGCAAGGATATCTATATAAACGCAGTAGTAAAGCATTAAATAAGGAATGGAAGAAGAAATATGTTACACTATGTGACGACGGTAGATTAACTTATCATTCATCCCTTCACGATTACATGGATAATATACATGGAAAAGAAATATCATTACAATATGTTACAGTTAAAATCCCAGGACAAAAGCCCAAATCGATTATAACAAACAGTGCATTGACAAAGCAAGCAGCGAGTCTAAATAAAAATGGAGGCATTTTTAATAACAATAATAATATTAACAACAACAATACACATTCAATTACCGAAAGCCTGGGTGTTTTATCATTACTTCATAAAGATAAGAAAGCGAATGATAACAAAGTTCTGCTAACAGCATACGATAATCTAAAGGAACCTGGAAAGGCAAGTTCGCAATCGGGCGATGAATCGGGAATTGCACTGAGCAACAGTAATTCACAGAACCTTGGAAGTGATAGCAATAATAAAATTGATGCACAAACGCCAAATGTCAAAAAACGTCATCGACGCATGAAAAGCAGTGGCATCAAAAACAATGATATAGAAGGTAATGCCTGAAACTTATTAATTATTCACATTTCTATCCAAAAAGGAACCCCATCAATGTCTAAAAGACATTCTTTATTTGGCACATCTTTTAATTTTAGCTGTAAATTGATTTTTAATCACTTTAACCTAGTAAAAGATTATTTGATTATAAATTCATATTTTCACTATTAAACTTAGCTTATCGAATAAGTTGTGTCAAGGTCTAAGTAGATAATTGATTTCTAAACAATTTTTTTTCTAAATTCAAAAAATTCGTTGAATTTCAACGTCATAATTGTGTATTGGCTTTATTCAAATTTGTGTCTTGATTAAAACCCGTTAAATATTTTATGCCTCAGATTCATTAAATATTATAATTTCATTTACAGATCCAGATGGATTCGAATTTTACATAGTGTCTTTGGATAATAAGCAATGGCATTTTGAGGCTGCAAATTCAGAGGAACGTGACGAGTGGGTATATGTGATCGAGCAGGAAATCTTCCGATCATTGCAAGGCAATGAAAGTTCGAAACCAAAAACACAAAATTCGGATGATGTTGCACAATTAATATTAAACATAAGAAATCAAGTTAGTGGAAATGGATTTTGCGTTGATTGCGATGGACCATCTCCAGAATGGGCGAGTCTCAATTTAGGTGTTTTAATCTGCATCGAATGTTCAGGAATTCATAGAAATATGGGCTCGCACATCTCAAAAGTTCGTTCTCTCACGTTAGACGAGTGGCCACCATCTCATTTAGCTGTGATGCTGTCAATAGGCAATTCATTATCAAATTCAGTTTGGGAAGCAAATACGAGAGGCCAAGCGAAACCAGGTATGCAAAAATATTAAGCTTAATAAAATTCGATATGCTAATCGAAACAATAATTATTATTATAAGTTCCAACATCGTCACGTGAAGAGAAAGAAAATTGGGTAAGACGAAAGTATGAAGCCAAAGAATTTTTACAACCATTAAATACAACAGTGTCCATTGGACAACAATTGATTGAATCAGTCGTTAAGTAAGGAAAATCAATTTCTCCTTTTGTACTGATAAAATATTTAAAATCCCATTTTTGTTTTGTAGGAGTGATATGAAAACCATAATACTATTATTAGCCCATACAAACAATGAATTTGTGAACTGTACGGTGAATTCTCGAGACTTAAGAACACCATTACATTTTAGCTGTGCAATTGGAAATTTGAGTATTACTCAGATTTTGATTTGGGTAGGTTTAAATTCTATAATTAATTTTTGTTAAATTCGGTTCTGAAGTTTTAATTTGTTTTTCAGTATAACGCAAATTTAAAACAAACAGATCATGAAGGAAGGACATGTCTTACTTATGCAACAGCAGCCAATTCTTTGGCGATTGTTAAGCAGTCAAACAATAAGCCACACCACGTATCTTCAGGTAAGTCGGCATTTTAAAAGCTTCTCAAATCATTATAACCTGAGCGAATTTTTTCAATTAGAAACGACAACGGCATTAGTTAACTTGTTAGTATCGCTAGAATGCACTGATCCGCATCCACTGTGTCAAACAAATATAGGAAATCAATCTACAACTAGCTCCACAACATTAGCACGACATCCATTCGAAAAAGTTCCATCAAGTGTTGTTTAAAAAGCTCTTTTTGTGCATTTGAGCATTCTTAAAATATATATATATTATTAAAAATATTAATTTATAAAATGAGAAAAAAAAAACCTTTATATTTAGGCAATAGGACAAATAAAATGTTGCTTTAGATTAAAAACGACACATCCAGTTACTGATATTAAAAACTTTTTCTTTTTATTCTTAAATTAATCAATTTATATTTTTATAGCAAATCTGAGAATGTAACGTCCTTTCTAACAGCATTATTGAATCCTTCTTTGAATTTGAACCATATTGGACTTCTCACTAGGATGTTCTTGAATGGATCTGAAAGAAATATTTTTAAAATTTAACGGATTTTAAATATTCAAATTTTAACGGTTTTTTAAAGTTCAAAAATTTCAGCAGAAACTATTTTCTAATATGCAAAATGAAAAACAATTTTTAAGAATTTTCAAATTTACAAATGTTCATTTTTACGAAAATTTTTATGGTAAAAACTTATAGGATATAATTTGAATCTCAAAAAACCGTTGGTTAAATCAAACATTAAAAGACAATTAACATTAATTTCATCATTTAAATGCGAATAGATGTGATATAATAATTATTAAAAGATGAAGGATTAATAAAACTGAAAAAAAGATTTGCATTTATTTAAATGTGAAATATTTTTTCTATAAAAATTTTATTTTGCTATAAAATTTTCTCATGGAATTACCCATAAAACAAGAAAAAATATTACACATTTAAATAAATGCAAATCTTTTTGTAGTTCTATTAATCATTCATCTTTTCATAGTTATTATATCATATCTATTCGCATTTAAATGATGAAATTAATGTTAATTGTATTTTAATGTTTGATTTAACCAACGGTTTTTTTTGAGATTCAAATTATATCCTATAAGTTTTTACCATAAAAATTTTCGTAAAAATGAACATTCGTAAATTTGTAATTCGTAATAACGGTTATTCCTTATTTTGCTTTTCGGGAAAATACAAAACACTCTCAAACACCGTTAAATCTGTCTAAAATTTACCATGTACTGATGAGTTATCTGAAGTCGACTCCTTTGACATGGCACGTCCAAAAAAATCTTTGCAAACTAATGTTGATGGCAGTAACTTCTCTTTTGCTATAATCGGCATTAGTCTTTGTAAATGATTAGGCAATGCTTTATTCTCTGATGTTGGCGAAAGAATTTCTTTAGCCTTTTCAGCCTTCTTAGTCTTTTCTTCTATTATTTTTAGATTTTCGATCCCAACTTTAGGACGAGCTCGTCTCATTTTCTCAACTTGAACTTCTTGTGCAATAATTTGTTTACTCCAATAGCTAATTTGCTTGTTAGGTATGCCAGTAAAACTGAAATGGTCGATGTCAGGCTCTGATCTGTAAAGGTATGTCCCATCTGCAGCCTGCATTTGAATCAATGATACTCCAAAATCTGCATAAATTTGAACTGTATGATGTAAATCAATCTTTTCGTTTGGGGTCAATAAGTGCATTGAAACGGATCGTATTTCAGGACAAATAATGTTCTTCAACAGACTTATTGTATCAATCAATAATTCATGACCAGCACGGACTCCATTTGAGACTATTCCTTTCTTTATACACTCGAAAATTTGCTTCGATGTCGATATTTTTTGAGACACTTCATATTGTTTCTGTGGATAAGTGATTTGTGGATATGCCATTGATGAGAAACAGAAATGCCAGCAAACAAACGCAAATTGAAGGTATGGATAAATTATGTAGTTTTGTTGAGTGTTGATTTTGTGTTGAATCAAATCATTAAAACAAAACCATTTCGATGCCTCCACAATGGATGTCAAATTTGTATCCTGAATTTTTTGCTTTAAGAAATTCTCAAACACACCCTGGCCAAGCCTAAAAATTGATTAAAAATATTTTATCGTAAATTCGCTTTGATGGAGTGTTTGGCACCATTTAATGATAATTTATGGCATACATTTTTGCAATAACTTGTGGATTATGAATAACTGTCAAAATGATTTTTGAAAAATTTCGGTAAAATTTGAATTTATAAAAGTTGTTAAATTGAATTTCTGTTGCACTAATTTTTGAACAAAGACAGTTTTGAAAGTAATTGATATTATGAAAAGTATACCTTAAACAGCCCAACCCTCACAAGTATTATAAAATTAAAATTTGTGTGTAAATTATACATGGAGATAAGAATAAACATATTTTTCCACTTACTTCTCATATTCACCACAGCTATTCACCATTTCCAATACATACATCATGCGTGTTCTTATAGACATGTCAGTCATACCGATAATTTGTTTCTGTTGATCATTTGATGACTGTTTAAGTACTTTCTTCGGTCGTTGTATTTGAAATATTGATGACCAAACATTAAAGAGTGTCTTGTGTTGATCCTTTTGTCCTACATTACTTTTTAAAACATCAAATAATGTCAGTGCCTTTTTCGTGTTACTAAAAAATTGAATGACTGATATACAGGAACGAATATCTCCACCAGTTTTCTCAGCTAATGAAAGCATAGCCGTCATGTCTGTTTTTACATGCTCTCTATATGATATATGAATTAAACGTTCAGCAAGTCGTGCATTGTCAATAGATTGGAAATTTACAACAAATGCAATTTGACGTAAAGTTCTTAAATTGGCTCCATAAAGATCATTACAAATACAGATTATTGGACGTTTCAGCACAAACTTTTTGTTATTCTTTCCTTTCTTGCTCTTTTCACTGATTTGACCAGAAACAAATCGAATTAAGAATTCTACAGACGGAAGTGGTGCACCATCAATCTCATCTAAAACAATGCAATTAGGACGATTCTCTCGATTTAAAACTGATTTCATTTGAGTACACGATTCTAAAATTTGTCGAAAACTATCTACATTTCTGTCATCGGACGCGTTCATTTCACGAACTTCATAGCCAGCGTGCTTCGCAATAACATGAGCTAGTGTAGTTTTTCCCAATCCAGGACGACCAACTAATAGAGCTATTTTTTGTACTGGAACGCCATTTTCATCAAGCTCAGTATTAAGCATATTTCCTCTAAATTTTCTTTTGATCCATCCACCGTTTTGTTCAAATCTTCCAGTTCTTCTATTGAAATTGCTCAACTCTCCAGGCTTTGTATTTTTCTTGACAGGTTCCCGATTAAATACAGCCTTATCCCATAGCTTGATCCATTGTAAAAGTGAACGATTTGTAGATTCGTCAGACAAAAGATCAATATACTTTTTTGGACAGTACTTTTCAACCCAAAGAGATGCACCGGAAGTATTTTGATGATTTGCAGAATTTTCTTGTGCAAGTTGTCGCATTTGTGATGACCCTTGGACATTTTTGAGTATTATTTGATTAGCTTCTTGCCACAACTGTTCAGTATGATTCCCAAAGAACTTTCCAGCATTCAAATTATGTGCCTCTATTTCGGTTAATTTCTTATTCTCAAAATCTTCAGAATGAAATCGAACATAATAGCGATCATCGAGACTAGATAGTGTCATAAATGGATATCTAGGAATTGTCTTGGATATATTGTCCTTTTTGAATTTATGAAGTGCTTCAAGCCTGTCAAATTCACTATTTTTGAGGGGATTTAAATATAAATCAAAGACCTTTCTAGCTTCAATGATTTTCTCAATCGTTTCCATGTCCTTTTCTTCTTCCGTTTTGGGCTTTTTAAAGAATGCATCCTCAGCCTCAATGTCATAAATGTCACCAAATAGATCCTCAAGCTTTCGTTTACGTTTCATGCCGAAATTCTGTATCTCATTTAATGCATCAATATTTTTAGATTTTATCTTGTCAAATTCATCATCTACAGCTTTAAGTTTTTCAAGGAACGGTGTCGAAGTCTTCTTATTCTTGTGAATATTATTAGATGGTGTAAATGGAATATGTCTTTCATCTCTTGAAATCTGTGATAATGCAGGACTTGAAAGTAATGTATTGTCATTACGGACTGTTGTCTTCTGAGTAGAAGCTATTGGTGCTGCTACATTTTCAGGCTCTGGAAATTTGTTATTGTTTTTTTTAAATTTTCACTAAAATTTGATTTTATTACCTTCAAAATCATTCATCATTTCCAATTCCTCGCCATACATGAGCTCATACTCTTCTTCAGGCGTTAAAAAGTCAGCCATGTCGATTAACTGATTAGAAACCTCTTTTTTCAATTAATTAAATTTTCACAAATACTTTCATCAATTTTCCCGCTAAACACTCATTGAGTCATTTGAATTTTAACTGATCGTTATGTTGATTTAAAAATAATTTATTTTCTTCATTTTTCAAGTAATTCTTTAATTTGTAGAATATAAAATTATGCAGAAGTTTAAAATAGATATATCTTATTGACCAAATCATAGAAGATAAGTCGGTTATCACAGAGTTTAATCAAATTACTCCAAAATCTGAAAAGGTGTAGGAAAATTCAAAATATATACGTTGAGCAAAAATTTTCGAGGTTATATTTACAAATTCAAAAAAAAAGAAAAAAAAATTCAATTTAATTAAATGTCGAGAACGAATGAAAAGTCAACGATATCTGAGTATCCTGTTAAGCCTAGAAGAACAAAAGGCACATATTCATATCGAGCACGTAATTATTTTGCCACTGCTTGTGTCTTATTTGGTGGATTAGTTGGTTTAGCTTATTCGTAAGTCTTTAATTTCATAATAAACGCAAAAAATAAAGTTTTCATTAATATTTGACTAGATTTTTGCCATCAACTGATCGTATAAGACACTACGTTCTAGAGAACTTTCAAGAAACGGAAGAACAGAAAGTAAAACGTAGAAGATTAGCACCATTTAAGGAATCATCAGATTTACAATCAGCATCACAACTTCCAGTGATTTTAGATCCAGCAGATAGTGCAGCTATAAAAATATCACTTCAAGTCAACGATCCATTGCAAGTCAGACCTGATCAATAGGATAATTTATGCATAAATACGATAGCAAGTTATTATAGTTATTTAATCATGTCTGTTGATGCGAAAAAGTCTAGAAAAAAGAAATTAAATCCTGAAAAGTAAGTTAAAGCCTGTTTTTAATACTCTTCGACTAAGATATTAAATAATTTTATTTACAGTGAATTAGTAAGCAAATTTTTTAATAAAAAACAAGATTGCGGTGAGCCGGCAACAAAGAAGAACAAAGTTACAAACGATGTCAATAATGATGATAGCTTAAGATTCTTCAAGACAGCTCCCAATTTAAGGAAAATAGCTGAAAGCTCTGTAAAAGATTCAGCTTGTCCATCAAATTCAAAAGATAATGTCGTTTCTGATTTCATCAATAAGCCATCAACATCCAAACAAGCTAAAAAGGCAGCTATAACAAAGCCAAAACGAGTTACTAAGCCTAAAAAGCCAAAATCACAAACAGACATAAGAAAGGCACTTAATAAAAAAGATGAAATGATTTATCATGCAATAAATGAAAGCTGTACAGCAGATGGAGTTGATCCATTTGAGATGCAATTGGCATTAGCTATTTCTGAGTCTCTGAAGGATGTCAATAAGGAACAACAACATAAAGACACTAAAAGCTTTGATAATCCGTTTAATTCAAGTGGTAAAATTCAGCCAATAAACTCAGTTCTCGAGCATTATGGATTTAAAAGTAAAAAAGTCTATTCAGAATATGAAATGGAAATGCTACTGAATAATAAATCCAAGAAAAGGACAAAGCATCAAAAATTTCCAACACTTTTAACTAACACGACTGATGATAAAAGGAATGAAATGATTACAACAAGAATTCATGACATTTTAGATTCGTACCTTTTTGCAAACACTCAGCAATCGGAAAAGGAAGAAATAACTAAAATTGAAAAGAATAATCCAGTAGTTTATTGCAATGATTTTATGAACGTACACGAATTAGTTAATACAGCATTTAGAAGAAGCTCAGAATGTATGGTGCATGCTGATTATTTTGTAACTGAATTATTTGAAATAGCACACAACAAGCCTGGATATTTATTAAAAGATTGGAGCGAAATTGCAGGACGAGATGCGTCACCCGTAAAAGAATTGAAAAGATCATGTGTTGAGGTTACTGGTAACCAAAATTTTGAGCCTTCATATTCTGAAATTAAGAAGAATCCAATACAAGTTGTGTTAAGTCCAAATTCCAGTTGTAGTGATATTTTTGAAGGGATTGAGAGCTTTACGATGGATCAATTGGGCGAAACACAAAGTGAGGAGTCATTAAAGGCTGTAAATGAACATCTAGAATTATTGCATGAAAAGCTATCACAATCCATAGTAATGCATCAAGATAACGATAATTTAAGTGATAAGAACAAAATGAAAAGCGTAGATTTAACACAGGATGAGTCAACAAACAGCGAATCAACACAAGAATATATTTATGATCCACAAGACTCGGAAGAACAAGAAGAAGTGGATCAAATATCAAGCAAGAATCAAGTGTCGCAAATATGTAATAATGATGATAATGAAATTTTTGATCTGACTCAATGTGACAGCCTCAAAAAAGAAGACATAATTAATCGTGAAAATGAGCAGTCACAAGAAATAAACAGCGACGCAATACTTGATGAAGAACAGGAATTTTTTGACCTTACACAATGTGAAAGTTATAAAGCACCAAATATGGTTCGTAATACGTATATCTCTCAGGTCAGTGAACTTTTAATTGTTCATGAAAATATGTCTAGTAATGATCTTACGCAACATGGCAATGAAAATTTAAAAATAGAATACGAAAAAAGCTCAGAACTAAAAGAAAACATCAGACTTACTCATTTTGACTTTTGATATTTTTGTTCTGAAATTTCATATTCACACAAAATTTTCAATTTTTGTGAATATATTTTAAACTTAATTTTTGCATTTCAAAATATTTTCAGTTCAAAAATATTTGAAAAGTGAAAAAGATAATTTACTTTAATGAACCAAATAGCTTAGAGCTGTAAAATGTAAAATTCAGTTTTTTAACGGTTAAAACAAATTAAATTGGGCGATTCTCTATAGGGTAAATCAGATAATTTTGATTTGAAATGAATAATTTGTTTACATTTTTCACTAAAGCTGGTCAGGTTTACAATTTAACTGATGTGTTTTTCCATTTTCTACAAGACACTGTATTTAAATAAGCTGGAGTCAACTTATTGTTGAGATATTTCGATTTTTCGGTAAAATGCTCCGTGATCGAAAATGGAATTTTACAAAAAAATTCAATAGGGGAATCAATATTTATCCATTAAGTTCTCATGTTTGCATCATGAAATGCAAATCAAATGGTAGAGTACTATTATTTCTATAATACTTATGCTTCAAATCTAAGGAAAACAGCTCAATTAAAGAGAAAAATCGATTCTCCGAACGTCAACTTTATGTCACGGAGCATTTTTAAGCTTTGATTTTCCAGATTCGTGAAAAAATGACCAAAATGAGTGTTTTGTATTTTCCCGAAAAGCAAAATAACGAATAACCGTTATTACGAATTACAAATTTACGAATGTTCATTTTTACGAAAATTTTTATGGTAAAAACTTATAGGATATAATTTGAATCTCGAAAAACCGTTGGTTAAATCAAACATTAAAAGACAATTAACATTAATTATATCATTTAAATGCGAAAAGATATGATATAATAATTATGAAAAGATGAAGGATTAATAGAACTACAAAAAGATTTGCATTTACTTAAATGTGTAATATTTTTTCTTGTTTTATGGGTAATTCCATGAGAAAATTTTATAGCAAAATAAAATTTTTATAGAAAAAATATTTCACATTTAAATAAATGCAAATCTTTTTTTCAGTTCTATTAATCCTTCATCTTTTAATAATTATTATATCATATCTAATCGCATTTAAATGATTAAATTACTTTTAACTGTCTCAATATTTGATTTTATCCAACGGTTTTTTGAGATTCAAATTATATCCCATAAGTTTTTACCATAAAAATTTTCGTAAAAATGAACATTCGTAAATTTGAAAATTCGTAAAAATTGTTTTTCGTTATTTTGCTTTTCGGGAAAATACAAAACACTCGACCAAAATATCAAATCAAAAAATTCAAATACTACTCTTATCTTTGATTATTATGTAAATCTATTAATAATACTTAAAGGAGTAATTATCTTTGATGATTTAAGACTATTTCGTGCTTTAAAATCAAATGAATTTAAAAGATATTACCAAAAATATTTTTACCATCTAAACTCGAATAACCTTGTATTTAAAAATCAATCATTTCAAATCAAAATTTTCTGATTTACCCTATAGAGAATCGCCGATGCTGGGTTATAAGTCCAGAGATTATAAGTCCAGATACAAAAATCGTGCACAGAAAATTATAAGTCCAGAAAATAAAAGTGACTAAAGGTTTATAAGTCCAGATACAAATTGTACCTGGACTTAAAAACCTCACGTGCAGTTCATAAGTCAAGGTACAAATACAGCTGGAATTATAAACTGCACGAGAGGTTTTTAAGTCCAGGTACATTTTATATCTGGACTTATAAACCTTACGTGTGGTTTATAATTCCAGAAAATTTATAAATTTTACCTATAATCTACCAGTGCGATTATAAGTCCAGATACATTTTTCTGGACTTAATTGGATAATCCTTGAAAATTATTTGAAACTATTTCAAATTTTTTTTTCTTTATTAAGTCTCTGTTATTGAACTTTAGTGCCTTAAAGTTGAACATCATAAAAAATCTTATCACTAAATATTTACTGAATCTTAAATGCAGCAGCTGATGTTTTTAGCACTTTTAGAAGCATTTTAAATTGGCGATTTAAAAGAAATCAATCAGAAAATCCAAGATGACTGAAGTTTTTTCGACTTCATACATTCTCAATTTTACTCTAGCACCAGTTGGGTTTCGATCAACGCTACTTTTTTTACGTATATGAGAAAGTAATAAGATAGATCAGGAGCAGGATGAATCTTACATTTCTGTATACTCGTAATGAACATTTCATTTTTACTTTTCTTTATTTTTTGTGAATTTTTTGATCCATTTAATTTGAGAATTTGATTCGTTAAAAATGTAAGTATGTTCACGTGTGAATCTATTGGTTTTGTTCAGATTGAAAAATCAGTTTTTCAAATTTTGTGAGGATATGGAGCAAGATAGCTTAAAATATTCAGAGATGAAAAGTTTGTGCCTAGAATTTCACATCTTTTGCAAAAAACAAATTTCAAATTGGTTGCGGCATTGCTGAGAAAATCGCCAAATACGCTTTCTGTAAGCAAACAACCAAGCAAGCGAGTTAATCAGTAAGAAATCTCAATAACGAGACTTCTTAGAGACTTCTAGTTTTTTACATTTGATCCGTGCTGCTCTATAGAAGAGCTGTTTTATTTTTGGGCAAGGTAGGAACTGCCGTTGCTTCAGAAAAAGCAAAAAACTTCCCTTTCTTACGAATTTTTCAAATAAAAAAGTTTCCTGTGATTTTTATAAAATTAAACTTTGGATGAAAATTTTTTTTAAAAAAACTTTTAAAGAATGTTCGTTAAGCTTTAAACCTTCAAACTTATGCTGAGCGAAGCTTAGCTGACTTATCAAGCTTCATACCTTCATACTTATGCTGGGCAAATCTTGGTCTATCCATAAGACTTTTGATGGTACGGTGTTATATTCACACATTGGGTTTCTACCCGATACACTAGTCGACTTTTAATTTTTTATTCCAAAGAATTGTAATTTATCCTTGAGTAAGGCATGAAAAATCTTAATAAGTTATTATCAAGGGGGTATAATGAAATACAGCAACTTAAAAGGATATATAAGGTACTTTAGAAGAAAAAAATTATCAAATGTGAATTCTTTGTGTTTTCAAAAATTAATGTGTAGAATTGCCTTAAAGAAAAAAATTTAAAATAAGTTAAATAAGTTTCAAATAATTTTCAAAGATTATAAGCCCAGAAAAATGTATCTGGACTTATAATCGCACTGGTAGATAAGTAAAATTTATAAATTTTCTGGAATTATAAACCACACGTACGGTTTATAAGTCCAGATATAAAATGTACCTGGACTTAAAAACCTCTCGTGCAGTTTATAATTCTAGCTGTATTTGTACCTGGACTTATAAACTGCACGTGAGGGTTTTAAGTCCAGGTGCAATTTGTATCTGGACTTATAAACCTTTAGTCACTTTGATTTTCTGAACTTATAACCCAGCATCAGAATCGCCCAATTCTAATCCAAGGATATTAGTGTTTGGATGTTAAAAAATCTTTTGGCTAATATATTTTAAATTCATTTGATTTTAAAGCTCAAAATAGTCTCAAATTTAAAAAAAAAAATTACTCAGGTTTATTAATAGATCTCTATAATAATCCAAGATAAGAGTAATATTCAGGGTAATATTTCAATTTTTTGATTCGATTTTTTTTGTAATTTTTTAACGGATTAGTAAAATAAAAACTTAAAAATGCTCCGTGACATAAATTTGATGTTCGGAAAATCTACTATTTGATATGCATTTCATAATGCAAACATAAAAATATTGATTCCCCTATTGATTGAAAATTGAAAACCTTACATCTTTCATTAGAAAAATCAGTCAAAAAATAATTTTAAGTTGAAAATTTTCGATTTACCCTACAGAGAACTGCACACGATGAGGATGAGATATTTGACTTTACACAACGTGATAGTCCAAAAAGTTTAAGTAAAAGTTCGACAGTCAATTCATTCGATGAAAATGAAGTAATTAATATTTCGGATGATGAGATTAATTATTCAATTAATAGATGTCAAGAAAGCAGCAGCAATAGCAATGAATATCCATCAAATAGTAATCAAACACAAAAAGAGGATGATGAAGTCATTGATATAGATAATCTTGCAGAACACTCATTGATTGACATGATAGCAAAGGATGAAAAAGATGTTCAAATTGAAAACAGTGTATCGGAATTGCTGAATAATTTCTCTGAAATTAATAAGAGCTTTAATTATTCGAGAAAAAATCGATCGATAAAATTTATGGAGACTGAAAATCTTGGCGATAGCATAACTGACATCATGAGAAAGTATGGAGTGATTCCAGTAAATTCGCCAAAGCATAAAAACTTCTCGAAAATACATTCGGAATCAGATTTGGAGAGATTTTCATCACAGAAATCAATTGAACAGGATAATGATGTTGATTTGACAGTAATTAATGACTTTTCGTCCCAAAATGACTCTCAAGAGGAAGAAGATTCGGAAAAAATAGACATGTCAATAAACAAGTCGCTTGCCAATATCCTTAAATCGCCGATTACCAAACAGTCTGTAAGATTGTCGAAAGAGAAGCCAAGAAAAAGTCTCGGTATTATTATGAATGACAAATATGTTGTTGATACTGAAACTCTATTTGTTGAGCCTGACTTTGAAAATATGACACCGCACGAATTAAAACTGCAACTCTTTAAATATGGCATTCGTCCACTTCCAGTTAAGAAAGCCGTTCAAATACTGACTCATATCTATTATCAAATGCATCCATTAATCCGCGTAGCTATAGACGAAGAGATTGACATGAATGATTCTCGAAAAGACATGAATATAACAGATGTAGCTACGGATATTGGCATGAAAGGCGATGACGATGAATATGTTTTTCAATTAGATCAATCTGGAATTTTTAAGGACGAGGAATATATCTTGCCAAATGTCAGAAAGTCTAAGGTAAGCTATTGGCTGCTAGTTCTATTCAAATTTTCAAACTTCGTTTTTACGAATTCTTAGCGCATTGGTTATAATTTATAAATTATTGAAAAATTCGTACACAATCACATTTTTTTTAACCAAATGATTAAAAAAAAGTACAACTAAGATTAAAATGAAGAAAAGCAGTTTTTCTTGAATCAAAATCAATAAAAAAAAACTTGTTTGACGCTAACGGTTTATTAAAATTTGAAAAATATACAAAGAAGAAAAAAATCGCTCAAAAAATGATTTATGACTTGATTTATTCTGAAAAAGAAAGTAATACTAACAAGACATTACGTTTACAGAATAGAACATATTTCCTTTAATAGTTTTCAATATTTTCTTGTGTTCATAGGTTTAAAAAATATTTCAATTGAATTACAATTTTTTGATTTTTAATAATTTTGTTCTCATTCTTCAGGTTCCATCATGCTTGATTCCACTCCATATATCATTTTATAACATGGTTCGCTCTAATGACAAATTGCAAAAATACATTCTTGAATATCGTCCAGTTGAATTAGATCAAATTTATAAGCATTTTCGTAAATTTGGTTTAACTTATCAAACGAATGTAAGTTTAATTAATTTTATCACGATTTTTTTTGCTCTTATTTATCATTAACATTTATAAATTTTTTAAGGATATTATTGCATTTTTGGATAAACGCTGTATAACATTTAAAACGAAAGAGCAGTCGTGCAGCAAGAAGCACGAACGCAAGAAACAAAAGCGCACACAAAAATCATAAAACATTCTATGTCATCAGGTCACCGAAATTGGTAGTTTTCATTTTTTTTTTCTTTTGTTAATTGAGCATATACACACACAACAGAAAGGATTAGAAATAAAAATAAGAAATAACAGAAATAATAATTCGTTTTAATCTTTTATTAATAAAATTTTTCAATGCCAATTTTCAGCAATATAACAACATAATAACATATGAATAATGTATAAAATATCAGATAAATGAAAGAGAAAATTGCACTATTTAATTACTAGCTAATTAAACGAAACAATAATGCAAAAAAAAGTTAAAAGAACGAAAGACAAAAAAGTGTTTATATGGCAAATAGATTTGATTTTTTCTTACATTGAAACGTGTTGAATGAGACGGTGAACATTGGGCAGTTATTAGTTATGTTCAATTGTAAGAAATATTCGCGTGCTAGATTAACTGTAGTTCCTTCTTTTTCTCATGTGTATGTTACATAGATTTGTGAACGATTCCTTAAAATTTCATTTAATATTTAATAACGACGCATTAAAAGTTCTCAACAAGAAAAAAAGAGAGATGAATTAACTAGCTGCATTGCTGGGTTAATTAATTTAAACAACTTCATGTGGGTTTGGCAACTTTTCGTAGGATGGTTCGATTCCCCAGATTTCACGAGCATACTCGCTGATTGTGCGATCGCTAGAGAACTTGCCACTGCTTGCGATATTGTGGATCGACATTTCGAGCCATTTTGCTTGATTCTGTAAAATATAAAAATTTATTAATTAACGTTTAAAATAAAATTACAAAAGTCCTCGTGTTATTGATTGAGGGACTTCAGCATATTTTTGATGCAGCGATCAGTATTTAATTTTCAGATATAAGTGGTAATTAATTCAATTACAAAACATAATTTCTTCGATGTTCGTTCACTTATTATTGGAATTGAGCAATGAACGATAACTGCATCATTGAATGAAATTTCACAAAAAAGATTAGTTTTATGTCACTTTTCTGTACAACGGTTTTTTGAAATTCATTTTTTATCGCTGTAGCAAAAAAAAAATAAATTTTTGAACGCACTCATCACGTGGATTTCATATGAAGTATGTTTTAAGACTTTTGACTGTTCGATGGGTCAAAAAAATAAATCAAAGTGTATTATTGAACTACCTTTTCGAATTCAAAAATGCGTTAAAAATATAGCAAAGACACGTACCGCATAAGTATCCGAGACAATATCTTGTTTCTGAACATAGTCATCAAAATCAGCAAAAGTAAGGAAACGATCGTATTGCATCAACATGTTGGTGACATCCTTAAATTCATCTGGATTTCCAGGGCTGTAATAACCGCCAGAGATTTGATCGATACATTGCTTCAATTCAGCATTACGATTATAGTAATCCCATGCATTGTAGCCTCGCTTATGAAGAGCTTCAACTTCTTCAACAGTCATACCGAAAATGAAGATATTTTCCATTCCCATTTCTTCAGCCATTTCAATATTGGCACCATCAAGTGTACCAACAGTTAAAGCACCGTTCAACATGAACTTCATGTTTCCAGTACCAGAAGCTTCAGTTCCAGCTGTTGATAATTGTTGTGACAAATCAGATGCTGGCATAATCTTTTCAGCCAATGTGACACGATAGTTTTCCAAATAAATAACCTTGAGTTTGTCACCGACAATTGGATCATTATTGACAGCATGTCCAACTTTACAGATCAATTGAATGATTTTCTTAGCCATATAATAACCAGGTGCAGCTTTTCCTCCAATCATAACAGTACGTGGTACAAAATTGGCAGTTGGATCACGCTTAATACGATTATACATGCAGACAATGTAGAGCAAGTTAAGCAATTGACGTTTATATTCGTGAATACGCTTAACTTGAATGTCAAACATTGAAGATGGATTGATTTTAACGCCATAATCATGCTCAAGAATTGATGCCAATTTGAACTTGTTCTCTTGCTTAACTTTAGCAACAGCACGTTGGAAAGATGGATCTTTAGCCCATTTCTTTAATTGTGCAAGTTGTTCCAAATGAACTGGCCATTCGTCTCCAATCTTTTCACAGATCAAATCAGCAAGACCTGGATTACACAACAATAACCAACGACGTGGTGTAATTCCGTTAGTCTTATTCTGGAACTTGTTTGGGAAAATTTCGAAAAAGTCACGGAAAAGATCACGTTTCAAGATTTCTGTATGAATTGCAGCAACACCATTAACAGCATGGGAACCAACAATTGACAAACGAGCCATGTTGATGCGTTTTTCTCCGTCTTCCTCAACCATTGACATGCGACGCATTCTATCGAAATCACCTGGATAAAGCTTGTCAATTTGTTGCATCCAGAGGAAGTTAATTTGGTAGATGATTTCCAAATGACGTGGAAGCATAGATTGCAACAATGATGTTGGCCATCTTTCAAGAGCTTCTGGCAAAACTGTATGATTGGTATAAGCAAAGACATTTGTTGTAACGTGCCATGCGTCATCCCATGAAAGTTTCTCATCGTCCATAAGAATACGCATCAATTCAGGAATAGAGATGGATGGATGAGTGTCATTAAGTTGAATTGCGACCTTCTCGTGCATACACTTAATTGCATCATGTGGATTTTTAGCTTGTGCGAATTTAGATGATTTGTAGCGACGAACAATATCGGCGAGAGATGCAGCTGACAAGAAGTATTGTTGCTTCAAACGCAATTCCTTGCCTTCAAACATGTTGTCATTTGGATACAATACACGAGAAATATTCTCTGCCAAGTTACGATCCAATACAGCTTGAATGTAATCACCATCGTTGACTTAAAAAAAGAGATGTTAAATAATAATGACAATTAATAATTTTGTGATGAAAAGGTAAAATAAGACTTGTTAAACGGTCTTTTGATATTCAAATATTAAAATTAAATTAATTTAATTTAAATTAATTAAAGCTTTCAAACTACTTGATACACGACTTGATACATACTAGGTCATTGTCAATAACTTACAGAATTTCAAGTTGAACTCAATTGGTGATTTAGCACTCCATAAACGCAATGTGTTAACAATGTTGTTGTTATATCCAGGAACTGGATTGTCATAAGGCATGGCATAAACGATTTGAGTGTCTGTCCAGCGCTTTCCATCAGGTGTGTCCATAACACGACCGAAAAAGTTTACTGGAATCATGTATTCTGGACGGGCCTAAGGAATAATCAAAAAGTATTTAGTATATAAAGTCACGGGATATATATAGAGATTGCTGACCTTCTCCCATGGACATCCAAATCTCAACCAATCATCAGGTTCTTCAGATTGTTCAAAGTTACGAATGCGTTGAGTGAAGATACCGTAATCATAACGAATACCATAGCCAACAGCAGGCATTGCCAAAGTTGCCATAGAATCAAGGAAACATGCAGCCAAACGTCCTAAACCACCATTTCCTAAACCAGCATCTTGTTCCATATCCTCCAATTCTTCAATATCTAATCCCATCTGATAGAGAGCCTCATCAACTGTTCCTTGTAATCCAATATTGATCATGGTGTTTTGCAATGCTCGTCCCATGTAAAACTCCAATGAGACATAGTACACGCGCTGATAATAAAAAAAAGTAAACAAATGTTTATATTTATTGATTTCAAGAATAACAATCTAGATAGACATTACAGCAACAAGGAATTAAAAGGATGCATCTGTATTTTTTTTAAAAAAAAAATAAGCACATGTTATCGCAATCTGGTGCCGCATTAATTAAACAGTCTCAATGGTCTCATTGTTTTTATCAATTGCTGTACACATTTATTTTTGTTATTACTTGATGCGCCTGTGAGGTCAGCGAATGTTATGAAACTGCACTGAACTTTCTAACATTGTTGTCGATATTCTCATTGACATCAAGCAAAATGTTTGTAAATTTTTAATGCTTTTTGAGTCAAACGAGTTTTTGTTTCACTTAGCATTTAGAACGGTTGTAGATTTTTATAATATTTTTAAGCAATATTTTATTTTTAAATCACTGTCTCAATAATATGAGAATATTTTTTTTTATGGGAACGTGTTGCATTCAATATATTATTTTGTAGACGAACAACAAAGATTGCTAATTTATCGTGCGTCAGGATAAACTAGCTGAATACAGCTCAATCTAGTTTTTCAAAAAAAAACGGAATTTTTAATTTAAATATTCTTAAAATCACTAATCCTATCATAACATTTTACGCACAAAACTTGTATACTTGTAACTTGTGCTAAAATCACAAGATCCCAATAACCGATTGACAAGTCAGGCATTTATAGTATGCGCATATTGACAAAGGAGGCGTAATGTCACATTGATTATTTGCACAGGAAGACCGTGAAAATATTAAATGGTGCATGAAACTCAAAAAGCAAATAAGTATGAAGGAACCGAGAGACGAAATATCTTTGAATTAAGTATTTTATAGAGAGACAAACTCTATTTATATAGTCAAAATAAACTATCTCGTGAATTGAATGAAGCAAGGAAGACACAAAATCATTCCTACATAACGAGAGTTATAAATAAGCTGATTACAAGTTTAATTAAAGTTCTTTGCCATTAGCGATAAACTTCATTAACTTTCTTATTACATTTTATGTGACTGACTTCTTTTTCTGTAATGATTAACTATATTTATATTCTGCTATCATCTATCACAACGGTGGTTTATGTTTGCGTTAAAATAAAAGTATGAGAGATTGTTCGTGCTTGCGACCTTATCTCGACCTTCAGAAAATTTCGGATATATATTATTAAATTAAACCAATTTAAGGCTGATATTTCATGCTGTACACACTTTTTATTTCATCGTCAATCAAATCAGACGAGTGTGATTTACTTAAAAGAAATTAGCCTATATTCATGTGTGATAAGCTTAGCGAATTAATGATGAATAAGCAAACTTTCGAGAAAATAGATAATTACGTAAAAATTGAGTGACTGATCAGATAAGATCAGATTTCTGAGACAATTATACATTTTATCACATAAGCTGCTTATTTAATTTAACCGGCTATCCGGCAAATTGCTTTGTGCTTCTTATTATTTTTCCCCCATCCATTATGCTTCTTATTTTTATCATTATTTTTTTCTTTGAGCTTTCTCTCGGCTTTTTTTTCTGACCTTTGTAGGTCGTCGTGAGTTTCAATTCTATTGACTGTATGTATGTTCTATTAGAAAAAAGAGTGTGTGTTACATACCTTTGGATCTTTCTCAAAGTAGTGCTGTTGAGTACGAATCCAGCGCGAAACCAAATGATCTTTTACGCAATGAGCCAATGCAAAATAATAATCGCGAGGTGTTGCAACATTACGATCCTTAATTAAGGAAAAGTGAAGATGACGATTGAATCCTTTCTTGACTTCAGTTACATCCTCAACTTGTGCAATTCCACGAACTGAAATTTGCTTTCTTTTATCGAGTTCACTCAATGGACGACTCATATTCAAGCTGTATTTCTTTTTTTATTTTCTGCACAGCAAACACTTGTTATCTGTATGACAAGTTGACTATAATTAACGTGAATATTTATGCACTATGCACTATTTAAACCTATTTTTTACTGGAGGATTACGGATCAAGAACCTTTTTTCAGATGCTTTCACTGTAAAGTTTCCGATCTGAATGAAGGAATGAAAATTTTGTCTCAAATACTTTTAGAATGTTAAATAAAGGACAGACATGCGCAAAAGAGATGCCTGATCGCGAGAATTGAGAGAAAACTCAAATTATTACACTGACGGAAATTGACATGGAGCACTTTTGTCAAATATCACTTAGTTTTCTATCACAACAACACTTTTCTATTGATATTCTTATAGATAACTATGCTTACTGTTATATAAGTTCTAGTGCCTTTAGAAGAAAGTGTCTAAATTAAGCTTTAATTCAGTTTTTTGTTGCTTCGTTTTTTCATGGAAATGAAAAATTTCAAAAAAATCCGTTAGATGGCTTTGTTTACCAAAATAAAGCAAAATTACAACAAAAATTGAAAAAAAAAATATTTTAATAAAATTAACATAAGCAATAAGGTGTAATTAATTATAAAAATATGTCAAAAGGAAGCTTCAATCAGGTTCTAATAGTTGAGAATGAATGTGGTGATGTCTATATTGTGGAAAATCAGAATACAAGATCTAAAATTGGCACGAAAAAATGTCAACAAATGATTCCAAAAAAGTAAGCTCAATTAATTTAAATTGATTGTTGTGATGAATTAAATATTATTATTATATTAGTAGTTCTGGTAACGATGACAATATAGACGAAATTGAGGAAGAGTATTTAGAGGAGAATTTTGAAGTAGTTCCAGTAGATTTTATTGATGCCAATGAGTATGAAGAGATTACTGTCAAAATTGAGCCAAAACCTGATCAAGGCATACGATTAAAACTGTCTAATAAAGAAACAAAAGCAAATAAAAGTCCCGAAAGTGCTGTAAGGAAATCTTCAACACAAAATAGCATACAGCAAACAAGTCAGGCAAAGTTCTTCTGTCGGTTCTGTGATATTAGTTTTGCCAATAAAAATGAGCAATGGATGCATCTATGTAAATATCTACAATGTGATCCCAATAATTATATATGCCGTGTTTGTCTTAAGGAAGTCAATAAGAAACATTTTGATGAACATGTTCATAACGAAAAGTTTGAGTGTAAAATCTGTGAGACAATATTCTATTGCAAAAATGACTATACAGAGCATACTTTAAATAGCCATCAAGGTGATTCACCAAAAAAGCGAATTTTAGATTATATGCCACTTACAGAATTTGAAGCTGTCACGAAAATTGAAAGGCCTGTAAACTGTCTATTAAGACGTAAAGGAGTTAGAACAAAAGTGAAATATCCAAGAAAGAAGCAGCGATTTGAATGTGATTTATGTGGCAAATATTTAGTCAGTTCTAGAAGTCTATACTTTCATATGAATTTACATCGAGGAGATTCGTCTTACATCTGTGCTTCCTGTGGTGAGGTCTTTTTTACGCCCAACGGAATCAAAGGTAGTACCTCACTTAAACTTGATCTTTCTAGATTTTCTAGAAGAAACATAATCAATCTATACATATTTACAGGACATTCTTGTGAGAAGAAACGTAAAAGACCCGAGAAAGACTTTAGGACTTATGATATGCGATACTGTCGTTTCTGTGATCAACGTTTTCCTTCACTGGATGAAAATAAGGCACATAAATGTGAATTCCAGCATCCTGATGACCAAAAACTTGTTTTTTGTAGGTGCTGTGGTAAAGTTTTGGCTAAATTAGGTACTTATTAAATTAAAATTCCTTTTTTCATATTTATTGAATATTTAAAAATAATTAAACAGCATTTAATCGTCACATGGAGACACATTCCGGAGTTGATTGGGTCTGTGGAATTTGTAATAGAAAGCTAGCGACTGAAAGAGCTCTCAAAACTCATCTAACGACTCATACTGGGTAAGTTAAAAGTGTTGATTCATGCTGTGCTAATTTAATCTTAATTTACATACTTTCAATAAAGCAATAAGCCATACAAATGCAGTGAGTGCAACGAAAGTTTTATTAACAAAGTAGTGTTAGATCGACACATGAGATTTCATGGACAGCAACCCAAACTTTTTCGTTGTGAATTTTGTTTCAAGCAATTAAGTACAGAGACCAGCTTAAAATCACATGTCCAAAGACTCCATAAAAATACAGTTCAATGTGAGCTGTGCAAATTGGAGTTTCCAAATCGAGACTATCTAAAAGATCACTTTCAAGCGACACATGAACCGAGTGTATGTGGAATTTGTGGAAAGTCCTTTTCTCTTCCTAGATATTTAAAGGTGAGCTATATAAACACAATTGCTTAAACATAATTTAACTATATATAATTGATAGATGCATGAAAAGCTGCATTATGACGATAATAATGTATCAAAAATGGCATGTTCGATATGTGCAAAGAAGCTAACGACTAGAAATATTCGGCATCACGTTTATAGACATCATATTAATGAGTTTGACTCGTGGTTAAAAGATAATCCTAATTTCTAAAGATAAAAGATTATTAAAATTAATTACAGAGTAAATAAAAATGCGCTGCTTGCGCCTCTCGCGTGATTTTAACTTGTTCAAAATAACGGAAAAAAATTCAAAATTTGGAAGTTAAAAAGTTTTCAAAATTTCAGCAGATGGCGCATCGCGTGTTTTTTTTTTTGACAAACTCAAAATTATTGAATTTATTTGATTTATCTTCAATTTATTAATTATAAAGCCGAAATAACATTGCTATAATGTTTGAAGGTACTTTATCGAACGTATTAATCGTGGAAAATGAAAGTGGAGAGGTTTTTATAGTGGAAAATAAAAATAGGAAGCCAAAAGTTTCTGAGAAAAAAGTCGAAGAAAAAATTGAGGAACCAATTCCTGCAAAAAGGAATCGAAGAAAACGATATGAAACGCGAGCGGAAGTAGATCTACAAGATTTAGATGATGATAAGCCAATAATCATAAAGTAAGTATAATTAATTGCATTTTTGCCGACAAATTAGTTAAACATAATGTAAAATTATTAACAGACAAGAAATTAAGAGTGAGCCGCAGGATGAATATGAAGCTCTAGATGATATTCAACCAAATACGTCTGGAAGTTATCAAGTCACGTCAGTTTTTATTGATCCAGACAATAGTTTTGATGCGGACGACGTTAAAGTGAAACAAGAAGTTACTCCGGAAAGTACAGGCACAAGTACAAGAATTAAATCGGAAAATTTTCAAGCTACATTCGATGGTAATTGGTCGTCCGATGAGAATTATGGCGACAATGGAGATGACGATTTTCAATTTAATGCACCGGATGATGATGATGACAAGCCCAAAAAGAAGAGAATTCGACGAAAATTAAGTAAAATCATGGATGTACGTGAAAAGATATCTATTGCAAAACATAAGAATCGTAACTTGCGTGGACGAATTGCCTGTCGATACTGCGATGTGTTGTTTGCTACAAGAGAAGAGAAAACGATGCATGATTGCAAGTATCTTCAATGCGATCCAAATAACTTCATTTGTCGCTTTTGCAGTAAGGAACTGTCTAGAAAAACGTTCAGTAATCATGTTCATGAAGCCCTCGAATGCCAATATTGTGGCCGTAAGATTTTGAATCCAAGAAACATGAAATTACATATTCAAAAGAAGCATAAAGGCGAGAAATTTAAGCCACCAAAGGAGAAAAACATTGAAGATTATTTGAAGGAAAAGGAGGAAGAAGAAAAAGCTATTATGTCTCGTTTGGAATCAATTCCACCAATAATTTTGTCTGGATCTGATAAAGATTCTCCACGTATTAAGCGATCTCGACAGTTCGAATGTGATTTATGTGGCAAATTCTTGGTGTCGCTTAGAAGCATTAGACATCATATGAACTTCCATTTAGGCATTTCATTGTATGTTTGCGATGTTTGTGGTGGCAAATTCTTTTCAAACAATGGTATTAAGACACATTCATGCAATAAAAGACGAACTGATGCAAGGTCTTTCCGTACACAAGACATGCGATACTGTAAATTCTGCGACAAGCGCTTTAACTCGTTCGATGAAAATGCAAGTCATGAATGTCCTTATAAGCATCCGTTTGACAAGACTTTAGTCATTTGTCGATGCTGTGGTAAGGATGTTCGTCGAACTTGGTTTAATCGTCACATGGAATTTCATTCTGGCATTGAATGGACTTGCGAGATTTGCAATCGTAAGCTAGCTACTAAACGTGCTCTGAAAATTCACATGACCATGCACACTGGGTAAGTCTACCTCTTTAGTTCTTCTTGCTGCTTATTCCTTAATTTTCGAGCAAATTCCGAGTGTAAATTAAAATTCAAAACTTCATTTTTTTTTTGTAAAATTTTCAAATTTTACAAAAACCGATAGCTTAAAAATTAGGAACAAAAATAGATTTTTCTTATAAAATTATTGCAGAAAAGTGTAAATTAAAAGCTTCCAATTGAAGCTAACGGTTTTGTAGAATTTGAAGATTATACCAAGGGTCAGACACTCCAGCAGAATTGTAAAGATTGTACAATTCTTCACAATCCATGGAACAACAACAATCTTTATATGAGAAGGATTGTATGGATTGTAATCCGTACAATCCTTATATGGAAAGGATTGTAGGGATTGTAATTCTTACAATCCTTTCCATATAAGGATTGTAAGGATGAAATAATTGTATGGAACATTTAAAAATGTTTTTCATGAGTTATTAGAGAAGAAATATTAACTTAATATTAAAAATTTATTTGTTTAAATTTAAAGAACGAAACAAGCTTGATATATCAGTTTTTTTACTTATAACCAGGGTGATTTAAATCAAAAATCAAAATCCTTTTGCAATGATTTTAAAAAGGATTTGGATTTAAATCTTTTTTTCAAAGGGATTTTTTTTGGATTTTGATATAAATCTCTTGTATGAAAGATTATATTGGGATTTTAAAATCCCTCCATGTTAGATTTTTGTTTTCAATTTCTCAAATTATTTTTCAAATCAACAGTTTTCAGTTTCAGTTCCTAATAAGTAAGAATGCAGTTGATCCTTTTTTGGCCTGAATCTTGCAACTGGATCTTTTAGATCCAAACATTTCTTAAATAAAGGCAACAGCAACCAATCGTTCCATGCTCTTTGAGTTAAACGAAATCCAATTCGTGATTTTTTATCTTCTGTGCCTTGAAGTACGAAAGGAATCGGCCATTTCCGCAAAAAAAATATGACTTCAAGAGGTGAATCCTTGATGAAAAAGCAACAAAAAATTTATTGTGGATGTAAAGCAACAAAAAATTTATTGTGGAGCATGGAACCATTGGTTGCTGTAACCTTTCTTTAAGAAATGCTTGGATCTAAAAGATCCTCTTGCAAGATTCTGGTCAAAAAAATGATCAACTTCATTCTTACTTATTAGGAACTGCAACTGCAAACTGATAATTTGAAAAATAATTTGAGAAATTGAATACAAAAATTTTACATCGAGGGATTTTAAAATCCCAATAAAATCTTCCATACAATAGATTTAAATCAAAATCCCCAAAAAAATCCCGATACAAAAATGATTTAAATCAAAATCTCTTTTTAAAATTATACTTTTTACAACTTTTTAATGAGTTAAAATGTATAAAAAATCATTCGAATTGATTCACAGTAAATTATTGCATTTTAAATATAATTGTTTTTAAAGAAATTTCTGTCTTTCTTCATTTGTCGTATTTTATTTTATTTTTTAAAAATAAATGGACATTAATTTTTGTTTAGTAAGGATTGTACAATCCTTACAATCCTTATATAGAAAGATTGTAGGAATTGTACAATCCTTATATGAAAATGATTGTAGGGATTGTAAGGATATAATCCTCACAATTTGTATGGAAGGGTTGTAAGGATTGTACAATCCTTACAATTCTGTTGGAGTGTCTGACCCTTGGATTATACAAAGAAAAAAAAATCGTTAAAAGTTTCGAAATTTTAAAAAAATCGTTATTTTAATAGCACTCCTTAATTTCGAATCTTAAATTTAGAATTTCCTTTAATTGTTAAATCCCTAATATTTATTTTATTATTTACAGCGAGAGGCCGTTTAAGTGCACATCTGCAGGATGCAACGAGAGCTTCGTTACCAGAACTGTACTAAATTTCCACATGCGCTATCATGGAGAAGCTCAAAAGCTCTTCCGTTGCGAATTTTGCTTCAAGGAACTAACTTCCGAATATAGTCTTAAAGGACACATTAATCGTCTGCATAAGCCAACATCACAGTGTGAATTATGCAAATTGGAGTTTTCGTCGCGTGATGTTCTTAAAGATCACATGATAACGGCTCATGGACCAGCTGTTTGCAAGACTTGTGGAAAATCATTTGTTCTTCCCAGATACTTGAAGGTACTTACTAATTTACTTATTATTATATTTTTGTGTGCTAATTCTGGTTCCTTTTAGATGCACGAAAAGTTGCACTACACCGAAGAGGAAAAATTTCCATGCACGTTCTGCTCAAAGCTGTTCACATTTAAAAAGTTGAAGCCACACGTATTTCGCTATCATACTGAGCATTTCGATCAATGGAATAAAACATTTTAAGGCATAATTATTACAATTCGAAGCAGTTTTTATTTGATTTCATTTTCTTTAAATTTTTATGAAACATTTACTATCATTTTGTGAATAAATTTTTAAATATTTTTTATTAGATTTTTTTCTCTTCTTTTGCGATAAAAATAATATTAATTTGAAAATAAATTTTGAGGTTCTATGTAAGGTTCTCTCGAGACAGACTTGGAGAGTTCATAGTTCTATGTAATTAATAATGGAAAATTAAGAATAAAGAAAAAGGTTTTTAAACAAATATTAAAAATAGTAATCAAATATGTGCGTTATTATTCAAGTGTCTAGACTCCTCTTTGCAGATAGTGACGTTTTCAGTGATAAGCCAGCATATCTTCTAACCGTTACATAATTTTTTAAATTTTCTGCAACGTAAATTGGCTTTAGAATTATATTTTTGAAACAACTTGAAGTTGGATACAAAATTATTTGTAACGGTAAAAAGTAAATCAGCAAAAAGAGAGGAGACATCTGGACAACAACAGCGAGTCAAACAATGCGATAACATCCTACATATAAATATTATTAAATATCAAATAAATCAAACTGAACAGCATAAATTGACATTTAGAACATCTTCTTCCTTTATTTTATTGATTTTTCCAAAAAAAAGCATATCTATAGGTAAGAAATCAAAAGAAACTTTATGCGGTTTAACATCATCATTTTTTTTTTAAATATCATCCTTTCGAAGCTAAAACAGCTCATTTGTTCATCATTTTAAGCTAAATAATTAAAATTTTCGATTTTTTTTCCTATCAAGCTGCGTCAAACATTTTTCTAAAAACGTCTCCCTTAATTAATTGCATTGCATCATTCTTTTTTCAGACATACAGTTTTCTTTCTTCATCATCATGTTCATGTAAATTGGAGGAAAAATGAAGGATCAAAGCGAAATGTTTATAAATTTATGCAAAATGCTAAAAAGGAGATGTGCAATCTTATATCTTATACAAAAATTGAAGGGTTTACAGGATGGGGTATAGTTCGATCTCGACTAAAGCATGTTACAAAACTAGATCGAGATCAGAACAAAGCATTTTGCATGTTTTTCTTCTTTATCATCTTTTACAATCAAACTTGTTTTACAATCAAAAATCGGATGGTTGGTGAATGCTATGAAATATATAATTTTTTTATATTGTTTGATATTACTATAATATTTATGGGATCGATTGCTTATGATGTCCAACAAAAATAGATTTTGAGACCTGCCAATTGTCTACATATCATAAGTATTCGATCCCTGAGATTTTTTTTTTTTTATTATTATTTAATGAGTGTTCAAAAAGGATATTTTTTTAACTTTTTCTTATATTTTTGTTATTTTTTCAAATTTCTGAACTACTTGTTATTTAAAGATCTTGAAATATATCTCTTGTATGTGATGTTCTATGCCTTAATGATCTTTTTTTTTCTTTCAGTTCTTCGATATAAATTAGAGATTCACATCCATCTGATCGTTTCTATTATGTTGTTTTGTTGCTTGAAAACATCTTACTTATCTTTTGCAGTTTCCTCTTTTTTGCCAATTGGAATTGCTGCCTTTACCTTATCGGTGATCTCGGCCAATTTACTTCGTACTAAGTCTAAATATTGATCAATATTCTGTTTGTTTGTCTCATAAACTTTTGGTAATGTGAACATGGCGACGTATGCTGCAGAATAAGCGAAAAAAGAAATATTTTTATTAGTATCAATAAACTATTAATTAAATGAGGTCATTCATGGCCAACGATAGCGCATTTTCCTGCACAAAATAAGAATCAGCAGTTTTAGATTACATCAGAATTATGAATATTCGATCGATGAATAACAGTAATTTTCTTTTTGAAAAATACGTGGCTACTTAAAAAATACGTAGGCAACTTAAAAGCCACAATCCTCAATTGAGCTGATATAAAGCCATTCTAGTGCTTGTGTATTAGGAAAATGCGCTAAACGCAAATAAATATATGTATGCAATTCGTACCTAGGATGACAACGGTCATGCCATTGAAGATAGCTCCAATGTAAGTCATAAGCCATAAGAGAAGTCCAAACTTTAATGAGTCAACGAGATCTTCGACCAAGAAAAGACGACGCAATTCTCCAATATATGCATTAATATGTGTGACAACGACACCGGCTATTTGTTGAGCACGGTCCTGCGATAATGTCAAATCAATGTCCAAAACTTCTCTGTAAATAATCGAAGATGAGAGAATAAAATATTAATAAAAGTCAATTCAGTACTCAATTAGATTAATCAAGACTTACTTGAATGGATGCCCATCTGATGTCTTCTGTATTGCGGACATGACGGTCTTGTAGATTCTGAAGGAGATGGTGCCAACGAGTGTCAATAATGAAAGGTATGCAAAAACGCTAATGAGTGAGAACATGGACATTGCGAGCAATACAGAAAGTCCAATGCCAAATACAACTCCCGATTTTTTAACATCACGCCAGTAGATTAAGGATTCCACTGTAAAATAGATGTAAAATTGCAAAATTATAATATTTTTTTCGCTCATTATTAGCCAAGATAATAAGAATTCGAGAGACTTTATATGCCACATGTTTCCACATGTTGAAAAAAAAAGTTTCACTTGATTTATATTATTTTTTCAGATCAGCTAGTTGGTGTAATAAATAATCGAACCTGGGCCTCGTTCAGGCAAATCTTCAGTTTGTGAATATCCATTGCCATTGTAATGTCTTGTTGACGATCGTCTACCCATTTTAATATAAAGTTTAATTCAACAAATTTAATATAAATGAACGGAAGAAAAAAAAATTAATTTTCTGCAATCTTGTTTTCGTGGCAATGTTTCAGCTCTGAATTTCCTTACTACGCTTTAAAGTATGAACTAAACTTTTTAAATTTTTAAAATGAACTGACTTCACAGGTAGTTGTACACATTATGTATGGAAAAAAATAGCAACAAAATGTAATGAAATGAAAGAATAATGGATGTTCTCTTTCTCTCTTTATTTTTTCTTCTTTCATTCAATCCCACTACTCTCCGGTTATTAATATTGCTTTTCACTTTACGAGATGGACAGACCGTGCAAGAGTTAGTTCTTTATGATCTTTCTTCATTTTTTATGCTTTCTACTGCCTTATAAACTGAAAGTTGTGTGTGTTTATGGCTGTGGTGTTAAAAAACTTGATCATAGAACAAAATAGAAAGGAATGAAAAGAGATTGTGGATGTATTGTGCAGCACACAGATACTTTTGCATTAATATTCTCACAGAAAATGAAAATCATTAATTTATAGTCAGTGCTGTTGTATTTAATCTAACCCGCATGAATTAAATCGCATGGCTTAATTCAATTGAATTTAATTTTCATTCACAAGCATGGAGATGAAACATGAGCAAGCGATTACATTTATTTCTAAACATTGAAATTTGATTCTTGAACTTGAAATGTTTTTTGTATAACTATTAATTTAATTCATTTGATACAATTATTTGTTATGCCTTTTCATTGCCAAATGCGTTGCACTTTGTCTAGTTCTTTAATTAAATTAATAATTGCTTCTAATTAATCATTGTTCAGCAAGTCAATTAAATTTTAGAAATTTGTTGAATTTGTCCCGACTTTTAAAAGATTAGAAGGATCATTAAAATGCCAGAAAAAAAACCCTAGAAAAGTGAGGCTTCTCAATCTACATTTCTCGCTTCGTAGATTTGTAAAAATTTTCCGCATATTAAATTGAAAATTTGACCACACGTTTCACTTTTCTCGTTCTCTGTTTCACATATTTTATAGTGACACGCGAATAACTTTTTCGTGTGTTGATCTTTTATATATATTTTAATGCTGATTAAATTTCTTTTCTACAAAAAGAGTGAACTCACTCAACGTGCAACAGAAAATGTATACAGTATTGCATTTCGTATTTAATTCTGATAACACGGATATTTTTGTCAGCATTAAAAATACTTTCTGTTTCATCTCATCTGAGTAATTTTTCTCACAAGACCATACATCCCGTAGAACAAAGTATAAGACAGAGAAAAATAGTCGAAATTTTAAGATACGCTAGATGGGGAATAAAAAGATGATCAGTTTCTGAAAATATAACGGGTAAGAATTTTTTGGCGACAGTCCAAATGAAACTCACTGATGAGATGAAAAACTGTCTTCCTTTTTTTTTTCTCCCCCTTTTCACTTGATCATTATGCTGCAGTAATTATTATGAAAATTATATAAAACGAAACCTTCTTTTTTTACTTACATCCTTCTTTTGTGAAACTTATGTCATTATAAATGGCTTTGAGATCCTCAATAATTGCTGCCATTTTTCAACACTTTCTGTTCTTCTTTGTCTTAACCCGAAAAAAAGAATTTACACTTTTAATTTTATTTATAATACTAAATGTTCCGAACGTACGTCGTTCCAATATAATGATGCGAAAATAACTACAATTAATACGTAGAAAGAGCAACGCAAAAAGGCACACTATACACTATTGTATTTTGTTTCTGACCGTCACGCAGAAACGTCACACTAGTCAGCCTCTATATTAGACGACAAACTTGGGATTCTCGACAGGGAAATTAGTAGCACTTTCCCAAACTGCTCGCGAACAACAAAGAAATCTCAGACGAATAAGAAAATTATTTTATTTTTCTTCAATTTCCGTGAGATATATCGTGAGAGAATTTCCCTCAAAAAATATCTTAATAGATTTATTTTTCTGTTTCTGTGAGTTTGTGAGAGTCTCGGAAAAGTCGGTGATGAAAAAATATAGTAAACTAATATGTTCATCTTTGAAAAAATGTATAAATTCAGTTTCGCGTTAAGTGCTCATAATATTATCAAATTTGTTTAGAAGCTAGTAGAAAGTTTTGTATGGTATTATTAATTATTTTTAGATGATTTTAAGTGCACTTTTATTGTTTTCCGGTCAATAAAGTTTTAATGATGAAGATGTTTATGAAATATCTTTGAAATCCTAACGATTGTTTTAAATTTAATGATTCAAGGCACAAGTACAAATTCAACGGTTTTTCACAATTTAAATAACCAAGTTGTATATCCAAGTCACAAATCAGTTTTAAATCTGTTTCAGATTGTTTAAATCCTAGGCACATGTTATTTAAGACACGATTCAAAGTGAAAATCGAATTTGAATATCCTAGACACAAGTCAAAATTAGGCTAGGTACATAAAATCAATCAGTCGAGACACAATTCAAACAAAATTCAAAACTTAACAGAACATTTGAAATAGTCGAGACACAAGTGGCTTGTCAAAATATTCAAGGCACAATCCCGTCAGTTTTTAAAATTTTAGCTGCTTTTTGAATTGAATAGTTAAATCAGCCCGCAAAACCAAACATCAATAAAAACGTGGTAAAAAGGCGTTAAGAAATAACTATTTTCAGTATATGTATATGCTCTACTGAAAACTATTTGTTGTGTTTTTATTTCTAAATGAAGAAAATCGTTCGCGAAAAACGAATATCGGCATGTGGTTGGACATAAAACAAAAAAGTCCTACGTGTTGTTATTACTTAATGTTTTAAATTTAGCCCATGGAAAAATAAGAAATTTTCCAAGAAGAATCAGATAAAAAGATGAAAAATGTGCGAAAACATTAACAAAAATTTACTTACACTTTGGATGTAAACGATCCGGCTTGAACCATGCATCTGAAAGAAGCATAGAAAGATAATTTATATATTAAATTAAAGTGGCTATTCATTAAAATAAAAATTCAATATTATTGCCGTTTTCCTTACTGTTATACATAGTGTATGTGTCATTTGATATTATGCGGTAAGAGACATTATAAGATTTCATTGAGTCAAATGCCAACCATATTTATAGCTCAAGACACTAAGGAAGTTTTCAACTAATTTAGAAAAATCAATGAATTATTTAAAATTGGAGCATTTGAGTGCAGCAGATTCTTCATTTGTTTGTGTCTTTCTCAGGCTGATAATTAATAATGTAGACTTATTGATTCACACGAGAAAGTACAACGAACGTAAAATTCTCGAATGTCTCATACACATGCAATCGTAGGCTCTTTTTTACTATGTACATATAGCCACATTTAGAATTTTCATATAGGGGAATCAATAATTGCATATTTCACAATATCAAGCCATATCAGCACAATCTATGTAATGAACGATAATTATTTGATCAGGGAGTTACATTCAACAATTCCACATTTTTTTTCCATAAAGGTATATCCAGTGTATAGCGCGAAACGACCACAATTAGTACTTTTGTATATAGATCACAGTGGAGAGAACAAAATCTCAATAGAGAGGCACAAAAAATTACGTCACAAAATAAACATTTTAATAAAAATAATTACTTGGTGATAAAATAGAGCATAAGATCGGTGGTCTTTTGCATAATCCGTTGAGAAGGTCAGCGGTGTCTTTTGGAGTAGTTGAATCACACATTTTGGTTTAGTAATAAAATAATATGAAACTTTCTTTATAAAATTTCTGAACTGAACTGTGATAAATGATTTTTCGCTCGAGAGCGTTAAACTATTATTTGCACTTGCACACTTGAGGAGCTATGAGCAGCTAGCTAGACTTCGTTAGCGTTATCTTGTTAATACTTGCAAAATTTTCTTTTTTATCTATTATTTTAATTCATATGCCGTAATATCAGACAAATGCAAAAAAATAAGCACTTCAATCAATACTGAATGGAAAAAAGAGTGATTTTTCCGAAAAAAGAAGTTTATTGTTGTTGCCTATCCCGTCGTACTAAATGCCCTCTATCAAAGCAGCTGTTTGACGCATGCGTGCTTCCGATTCGAATCACCCCAAATTCAAACAATATATCGGGTATGCAGTCTATGACAAAAAAAGCCGTATAATGTCACATGGAAATATGGGAAATCATGACTGGAAAGTTTTCATATGTTTAATACAATTTTCCCTTTTATAAAGCACGCGCACATGACATTTTCGAATGAATAATCCCATCCTCTAATTTTATAGCGCATTTTTGCAAACTTGTTTTCTGAGAGGTAGCTTTATAATCCACTTTGATCGCAAAGAGTTTGGGTTTTTTTTATAAGCTCAGTTCCACCTAGTTATTGATCGAACATATTGAAAGCTTAAAACAATAGCTTTATGCTTTAATTAATGATTTTTTGATTTCATTTTAGTGCAGCCTGGTAAATATTTTGACTACCTCTTTAATTTCAAATGTTTAAAACCTGTTAAAATTAGATTCTTTTTTAAATTACTTTAAATTGTAACTCACTATAGTTAAAAGTATTTTTAATGAGTGTTTTTTGATTCGCATCTGCTTGCATATCAAATAACTGATCGCTGCGTCAAAAATGCGCTAAAGTCACTAGATAAAGCACGAGGACTTTTTTAAGTATTTTTTTCATCATCATCAATAGCAGCAGCAGTGTAACGAAAACACAACACTTGCAAAACATTCAATGAGTCATCCAAGAAAGACTAATAAATATTTTAAAATAGTGATTGCTACTACAAACCTAATCCAATGCTTTTGAAAATTTTTTCTGCCTCAATTTGTGTGTCATTCGATGATGACGACGGTGTTATTGATGATTTAATTGTAGCTGCTATTTCTGGTGCTTTAGGTTTTGGTTCCTCGACCGGCGCTTTTTTAACGACGACTGGTTCTGGTACAATTTCTGGTTTAGCTGGCTCTTCTGGTGGTGGAATAAGGACTGGAATTTCTTGTGGTGGTTCCTCTATGAAGGTTGGAACTTCCGGAATTTCCTTCTTCTTCTCTATTTCAATTGGATCTTTAAAGTCTGTTAATAAATCTTCCGAACTGATGAATTTTTCATTGGTTGTTTCATTTAATGACTTATTCATGGCATATGGATTTAAATAATCATCTTCGGTCGTATTTAAATCAATTTCAGGCTGCTTTACTTCTTCCTTCATTTCAATTGTTGGCAAGAGTACTGGATTAATGGGTGAAAATTGATTAGGTGAAAAATCGCCTATTTCATCACCCACATCGTCATGGAAGTTGAGGAAATCGTCTACAACAGCCTCTTTTACTTTTTCAGTCGTGTCTACCTTTTCTGATCTCTCAGATTGCAAGAAATCCACTGTATTATCTTTTAAATGCGAAAAATCATCAATTTTTTTCTTATTGAATGTTAAATCACCCCCAAATAGATCATTCTCTCTGTTATCCATTACGTCTGTTTTATGTTGAAATCACACTTTATATTTAGCTCTCTCACGCTATTGATTTGTTAAATATATTAAAAATACTTTTTAATTTGGCAAACTTGAATTTTCTCTTCACTTTTCTTCTTTTTTGTCACTTTTCGAAGCTTTTCCAGAAAATTTTCCACTTTTATATTCTGTCAGACACAGCACACTGTATGCTTAAGCACTAAAATATATACTGGAAGTGCTGTGAAATCTGTTGCAATTTATTTACTTTTGTTGTGGAAAATAACGTATTTTTTTGAATCTTTCTTTTGAAATGTTGTCTTCAAATTTATTTTGTTCGTTAATCTTGACTTAATTTTAGGGCACTTTTTGTGTGTATTTCTGAGCTCACCTATCTGAATTTTTAAAAGAACTTAGCTGAGTCTCAAACATCTTAATTAACGTAAAGATTCGTTATGAAAATAGTTTTTGAAAAATAAATCAAAAACATCATTGACGTTGAATATGATATTTTGATTTTTTTAAAGTCGTTGAATCTTAATATTTTGCTGTGCAATTGTTGATAAAAATCATTTTGTTAAATAAAAGAGTTTCCATCGATTCCTTGTTAAAGTTTGCTTGCTAAAATAATAGTAGAATGGGAGAACATAGTAAACACACGAAGAGAATTAAGGTAGGTTCGATATAAGCCTGTTATTTGCTATTTTTAATTAAAATATTAATTTAGGTTAAAATCACAAATACAGAAATATCAAATTCCTTTATCAAAATCAAGGCACAGAATGCCATCAGTGATGAATACTTTGCTTTAATGGATTTAAAATCGATATACAAGTCAGCTGATGATATAACAAACGAGGATATAAAGTTAAGTGATCAAATTTATATTTCACGACTGGATCTTGATAATTATGCTAGATGTCGAGTCGCGGAAATGAATGATTACAATTCTATAGCTACTATTGAGCTAATTGACTCGTGTTGTAAGATTAAGATCAATTATAATCAATTGAGAATATTACCGAAATCATCCAGTCTTTACAAGATCCCGTCCATAAGTAAAGAATACATCATAGCTGAGCTGATTGTATCAAAAGAGTATGATGATTATCGTCAAAAGTTTGTAAAGTTCCACGAATTAATTGTCAACAAGTATTTAGAGATGGAAATATTGAATGAAGTAAGTTTATAGGCAAAAAATCGTTCGTACACTAAAAGCTAATGAAATTTTACAGAACCGAGCTGGAAAGTATGTCCAATTGTATTCATTTGATGCATCTATTGTTCATGATTTAATCCCAAATCATCCGACTTTAAAGACAATTTTAAAGAGAATTCATCTGCCTGAACAAATGAGTTTATTGCTAGAGCAGTTTAACAATGATTCATGCCAAGCAAGTCCAGAAATAGCACTAAAACCATCAAATTCCAGTGACATGTTAAGCTTCTCGTCACTTGATCAATTTCCAATCAATGAAACGCATGAAGTTAGAATCAGTTCTTATGTTAATGGTCCAAAACTATTTTACGTACAATCAACGAAAGCGTTTCAAAAGTATCAAGAATTTCACATTAATCTGCAGAAAATTGACCTTCATCCTTTAAGAAGTCGTCCAAAAGTATCTGATATATGTCTAGCATTTCTGGATTCAAATAATGTTCAAAGAGTTGAAATAATGGAGACTAATGGCAATATATTTATAGTTCGATTGATTGATCACGGGATTGAACAGGTTGTTAAATTTAAGGATTTGCATGTTATGCCTGACAATATATTATCACAGAAGCCCTTCGCATGGAAATTTGCTCTACACGGCATCGATAAATTAAACAATTTAAATAAAAGTGAAATAGCCTTTTATTTCCAATTCATAACAAATAACAAACGGCTGTTGTTGATCACTACTTCTGGAAGTGCTGGTAAGCTGCTAATCTTTAACCGTTATAAAAAATTACGAAACTTCATTAAAAGTAAACGCCCGTAAAAATGAAGTTTCAAAATTTTCAAATTCGTTATTTTATTAAAAAATTCAAATATTTTTTGATCGTTATTTTTCAAATTATTTTCTACCGATATTTCTGTACAGACACAACCACAAAATGTTCACTTTTTGATGGCTCTAATGACATTCTAGAGATGTTAAATGCTTGGGATCCACACACACTTCGTTATCCAAAACAAATTACATTAACCAACAGCCATAAAATCAAAATTGTTTTTGCTGAATCCCCTAAATTGTTTTATGTCAATATTTGTGAAGCATTAAATACTCACTCAGCACTTTTTGAGGAATTTTCAAATTTCAATGGCTGTAATTATCGAATGCTAGCAGCTAATTCTGCTTGTTATGTGACAGTGAATAACAAAAAGTGGCGAGGATGCTTTGAAAAGAGAACATCGTCATCGATTTGTCAGATAAAATTGGTCGATATTGGAATTACTGAAGACTTTTCATCCAAGGAAATTAAAGTTATGGTCGACAAGTTTACGAATGTTCCACCGCTAGCCTATAAATGCTGTCTTTTCGAGTACAAAAATGAGAATTTTGATAAGAAAGTTTTAAAAACTTTTATAATGAAATGCAAGCAGTATCAAACATTTAACATGAATATTATCGATTATGATGGAGAGATTTACTATGTAGCTTTAGAAAACGACTCAGAACAGAATATTAGCGATGAGTTATTGTCCAGTACAATTCAATCAGACAGTATAACCCAATCAAAAGAAGCAATAGTTGACCAAAATAATAAATCAACTGCTCACAGTGAAAATCAACCTCAAACGTCTTCAGAGTCTTATGAAAGTAGCCCAAAACAGCAACAATCAACTCCATCAACGACTTACGAGGATTGGACATACGATGAGCGCAAAGAGTATGGCGAAAATAGTTTATGGGAAGATTCAAGTCATGAAAATAGTTTACAGGATTTTGATTGTAATGGAATAATCACTTCCATTATATCACCAAATGATTTTACAATTCAATGCTCAAAAAAAATACCAGAAGTCAAGCAAATGTTGTCTGAGTTACAAGTTGCAGCACCAACTGAATGTCTATTAACAGAATTTGTAAATACAACTTTTTGTATAGCTATGAATCCATTCTCAATGGAATGGTGTCGTTCGATTATAATTGATGCAGATATAACTGATGAAAATACATTTGTCATTGTGAGGGATGTCGATAATGGTCAGATATTCTCTGTTGAAAATTTAAATGAGCTTAAAAGAGCATCTTTTCTTTTCATGATTAAGCCTCATTATGGGATTCGTTGTGGACTGCCAATAACGATTAAACGTAATATAGATGATGAAGCGATGCGACTGTTTGTTGAAATGTGCAGCAATAAGGAAATTCGATATAAAATTATAGCAATGAATGAGTTTATCAGCGTTTGTGACATTTTAGTGAATGAAAAAAGTATAACAGATACCTTAGTGGAACTAGATGTAGCTATTAAATTAAAATATCTTCCTAATGATATAGTTTATGTGCCATTTATTAAGAATTTGACTGAATTTTATGTCCATCTTGAAAGAGAGACACAGCTTGTTAAAAATATTAATCATTATGCACAAAAATATGAGCAAATCCCTTTAAAGGCACCAGTTGAAGGGATGACAGTGATGGCAAAAAGTACGAAATTTAAAAGATGGTATCGAGGAAAAGTCTTGTCAATTGATGTAGAGAAAGTGAAAGTTAAATACATGGATTTTGGTGATTCTGAGATGTTGACAAAAGCTGATTTAGGAATGATGGATGAACACTGTTTTTTAAAGCAACTTCCGTTAGCTCATCGATGCTCATTTAATTTACAATCTGATCTCAATCCAGACTCTTCGAAGGCAGTCGAGGAATTTAAGAAAATTGTTGACAATGGATTTAATAAATTATATTTGAGAATGATTGAGCCAAAATTAAATAGGTCAGTCGTTGCGCTTCATCTAGAAGATGAAACAAATATTTTACAAGAACTTATTAAGTTGTGTGATAAATTAGATAATAAGGATGAAAGTATATCGTTTGATAGTAAAATAAGTAATAGTACAGCAAGTTCTGAAAGTTTCTAGCACATTTTCTCAACCGTTAAATAAAATTTAAATTGCTTTCCAAAAACATTTTTTTAACTGTCAAATTAATTTTGAATTTCTCCAAACGTTTTATTTGAAACAAAAATAAACAAATTTTTTGGAAAATAAAAAATTACCTTAAATCAGTTATAATTAAGCAGTAATGGATAATGAAAATGAGGCGGAAGGGACATTAAATCTAGAGGAATTAAAGGATGCATTAATCAAACATGTATCTACCGAGAAACAGGCATTTTTTAAGCATCAACAAAAAGATGAAATTGATTTAAATGTTGATGACAAAAAAGTAATATTAACAGACATCCTAGCCAGTTCTCATTCAAAGTTCCTAGCTAGATTTGGTATGGTCCTTAAAAAGGAACACTTGAAATATTTTGAGTCACAGAATTATGATACAGAACAACAAGAACTAGTGAAGGAACAGATCAAGCAATTAAGCTACAACTTGGATCATCAAAGAACATTAATTAAGAATAGAAGATATGCTGCAATGATGAAATTAATTCATGATAATGAATACTTTAGTGATATTGAAATGGAAAGACGAAATCCAATACTCTATAATGAGCTAGTTGCCAAGTTTATAACACCAGCAGAACTAGCTAAAAGGAGGCGACCGAATGCTCAAACTAGCACATTAGTGGATGTTTTATTAAATCAAATAGACTACGAGGAGAACTTAGAAAATGCCAAGAAGCAGAGAGAATTAGAAGGTGATGATTCAAGGCAGTCATTCGATAGTAATAATGAATCAGATGTAGAATCTAATCAAATGCAATGGGGAAATTTCGATAGTGAAGAAGTGAATTGCAGCACAAAAAATAGAGCAAGGAGAAAAAGGAATGCAGATATTTTGGTTACGGCCGGCGAACGTGATGTGCTGAGAGACGAGTTTTTAGGAATAATGTATAATGAATTTCTTCTGGGCCATGATACTGAATTTTTTGATTATAGTCAAGTCGATACAAACGAGGAATATGACGACATGTCATTAGAAAAGGATCAAGACTTTAAAGATAAATACTTTGAGGATGAAGATTCACAAAATGTTGGTCAAGACAACAGTGATAAAATTACTAAAACTGACGAATCTGAAGATGAATTAGATATTTATATGCAGCACATAGAGGAACACATCATGAGACAGAATAGCGATAAATTGGTAGAAGAATTTGATGATGAATAACTTTACTTTATTTAAATATTTGGGGATAGTTTACTTCAGGAAAGTTAATACATCAAATTTGAGAGAATTTCAAACTTTTGTACGATTTTTAAACATTGCTGTTATATGAATTTCAAACATGAAGCTGTTGTATGGCTCCGAAACATTTAGTTGTTGTATGGTTTCAAAACAACTTTTGCTGAAGAATCATTTTAAAATTTTAATAAAGTCTATTTTTATATTCCTTTATTTAAACTTTTTTTTTATTTAAGAGAATAAAATAAAATAAAATACATTTTTTTATGAAAATTTCAAACTGTTGGGAGCACTAATTCCTCTGCCTCTTCCACCTCTAATAAACCCTCTTGTCGGTCGTGTGTCAAATGTTTTTGTTGCCGGTGGACTTTTTGGTCGCAACATGCTTATTCGTTCTGTACATCCTGTCGTTAAGCTATTTTCAAAATAACTGGAATAAAGATTCGCATTAAAATTGGAATTTGTAAGTTCATTTCCCACTGTTAGCCATCCTGAACGAATTGTACTGTCACGTCCAAATAAATGGAGCCGGCGACGTCCTAAGCAAAAGTGCTCAATTATGTGGAATATTTCAATTGGTTTCTCAACATTTCCAAATTCATTTTCTTCTGATATAATTAAATCTATATCAATATTAGCATGAATAAAATCACCGTCTGTTGATCTCCTTACAGTTCCTTTAATTCCCATCAAGCAGTGTTCTTTTGTTCGTTGAAAGACGGCTTTTGGTTCGAGAATTTTGGAATGTCCAGGTGAATTAATGTTTGTTTTAATCCAGCATATATCCTCGCACCTTCTAAAACCCCATTTCTTGAGACATGTCCTTCCCATATCCAGACCTTCAGAACTTCCACACCATAAAAAGACAAAAGATCGATGGCTCGATATAGCTTCAATTTCAAGATTTTTAATCTCATCCCAGTTCCAAAAATTACCAGCAGAACTTGTTCCTCGAAAATACTCTTCTAGTGGCGGTTCTATTAAAATTACATCAAACTTCGCATCCAAAGATTTCAAATCGAATGTTTTAAGATCTGTTTGGAGGTACATTGGTGGACTTGCTGTTTCCGATATTAATTCATCTTTTAATCGAATCAATTCTCTTAATTTTGGATATTCCTCAAATCTATCAGCTAAACTGCTATCTCTTATGAAATTAGCCGGTCTTTGACCAATATCAACAAAATGCTGACAATAATCATTGTGTGGATTAGACGATTGAGTTCCTTTTAAAAATAATGATGAGTCTTTGTAGAATAGACTCTCAGTTTGTAACTTTTTTGAACTTCCAGCTTCACTTTCGTCTTCCTTACTAGCATCTTTGCTCGACATCGAGTCATCGCCCAACACACTTGTTATATCCTATTAAATTGAAACTTTTATAACTCGAACTGATTAATTATCTTCTTTAAATAGTTTACCTCAATTTCGGAAACACCAAGCTGTAAATTAAATTAACATTCATAAATTATACAGATCTTAAGTAATTTCGAGACTCACCGACTGTGCAAGTAGCTTCTTTCTTTTGAGAGACTTCTCCTTTAGTGATTTAAGAACATCTGTCATTTCTATCTACAGTACTTTCGTCAAAAATTAATTATTTTAATTGAATGAATGGAAAATTGTTTGAATTCAGTTTGTAAACAAAAATTCTAAAGCGTTGCTTGATTTTTAGAGCGTTAAGTAATTTTTTTTAAATAAACAACCGTTAAAATTTTTATTTTGTTCATTCTGGTTCCTTAAGTTAACAAATCATTCCCATTCCTCATAAATTTAAGTTTTCTAAAATTATCCAAATTATTGTTATTATTCTTCTTTCTGTGTGATTCTAATGGTTCTTCAAAAAATATATATATATAGTAAATAAGATTCTTAGTAATAACAAAAAAAAAAATGCAGCCATGATCAATGGCAATAAGCTTAACTACGTTCATACAAGAACATAACAGTAAATAATTTAACAAATTATTTGATATTTTCAAAGGCCTTACGACTAGTTATAGCCTCGAGAGCAGTAACAAATTTCTTTAATGATGTCTTATCATCATCAGAATTTTCAATCAAGCCTTTTGCATGCTTGACTAAAATCTTAAATTCATCGAGGATGCTATCGAGGTTCGAGCATTTTCCATTCTTAATTTTGTCAACGATCAAATTAATGCACACGGTGAAACTATCATCATACGATAACTTTGTGACTTCATTAATCAAATATGTAACTTTAGAACTATCTTTCTTATACATTTTTTCCAAACGCTTCTCTTCATCATCATTCTCATCGATATTATTTATGTCCAATCGTCCAAATTCTTTTTCTAATTCAGCCTCAATATCACGATTAAAACCACTCATGGAATTAAACTTTGAAGATAAATCCTTTTTGGCACGAGACTTGAATGACGAATCAAACAAATTTCCACGATGATTATGATTATCCATTGGAGTAGCTGGCAATGAATAACTCTTACGATTATACAATCGTCCTGAACTGCTTGTTGATGCTGAATTAAATGGACTGTCATTCAAGTCTTCATAGCTCATCCAGTTGAGAAGATCATTAGGTGTAGCAGGTGTAGTTGGTTCCATACTGCTAGAGACCGAATATTGAGATTGAGAATCAATTTGTAATGGTTTCAAATATCCAGAACGGAAATAAGCATTAGTTTGATGACTGCGAATTTGAACTTCTTCAGAATTTTCAGCCGATTTTGGCGAGAACAATTCCTTTTGGAAACTTTCTAAGAATTCTTTATCATGCTGCTTCAATTCGGAATCACTTTCAACATAAATTTCTTTCTTTTTGTTTTTATTTCCACTCTTATTTTGAGCCATTACGTCGAAATTTTCTACAGTTCCCATCATAGCTTTCATCATCTTTAATGTTGCTTCTTGCCATTCAATAAAGCTAGCAGAAAAGTTTGGATCATAATCCTTACGTAAATCATCCAATCCCTTACTCTTATCATAAATATATCCACGCATAATGATCCATGCATTAACAAGACGCGAGAAAACAAAGATAAAGTCTTTAATAGCCCATGCTGTTCCTTGTGAATTGATATTCGACGTGATGTTGTGATGGATAGTTAATTCCTGCTTCAAACGTGATAGTAACAACTCGATTTTCTTAAAGCATGGACGCTTACGATAGTTTTGAGCGATACCTTCAGCAAATGTACATCCATTAGATGCGAAACATTGCAATTCATAGAAAATGCTATCGACTTCTACGCCAGAAATACCTTCATAGCTTGAACTAGAGTTTAAGCTTGGAGGACTATTTATTTCACTGAGGGGAAAAATTAAGTTTACAGATGTAATAGAAGAGTGTCTATTAAAATTACGAATCTTAACATTTACCAAATAGGTTCAGTGTCATTAGTTTGAGTCTCATTAAATTTATGTCGCTTGATAGGAATAACTGGGCCTTTGATTGGCGAATCTGAGGGACAAATTGAACATAAGATTTGATTATAGAAATTAAGATAATGACAAACTTACGATTTGCGCGCGGTATAAGCAATAAGGACGAATCATTAATTGGTTCGTTGACAAAAAATCTTGGACGGTTTCTATGAAATATTTATGTTATATAATTAATTATATAAGGAACTCTTTTAATGAACATACTGGAATTGCTGGTAAGGCTTATTTTGATGAAAATAAACGGGAAACATTGGTGGGCGACTGTGTTGGTTCATGGAATTTGGTTGTGGTAGTGCGCAAATTGGTATTGGAAAGCCTGTAAAAAATAAAATCATTATTTAAACATTATTATGAGTTTTCATTGTGATTTTTTTTTACCAGGATGTTGTGAATGAACAATTTGAGGACCAAGCAGTTGGAAAACGCCATTTGATATGTTTCCTGGATGTTTAGAAAGAAATCATTAAAAAGTGCTATATCATGAAACATCAAAACTGCACTTCAAGTGATGTTTGCTGTCTGCGACACTTGAAAGGTATGAAGGATCGTGTCACACTTGATTCTACACTTTATTTTTTGCTTTAAAGGATCTTTAAAGTTTTTTTTTTCAAATTTGCTTTGAAAACTTTCATAAAAAAAAGAAAATGTGTGAAAAAAACTTACCAATTGAGTTTTGAGGCATATTTTCCGGATATTCGTACGACATTCTACTTTTTTATGTTAACCTTAGGCAGAGAATCACTTTTAAACCAAATATAAACTGTTTTAAGGCCTAATTAATGAATAAAATAAAATTAAACTTGACACGATTTGAACGCAAAAGTTGACTGAAGAACAATGAATTTTTAACGGTCTTTCTATCAAATTTTTGAATTCATAGCGATTCTTGTAGAAAAATGTTTAAATTCTACAAAAGCCGTTGACATCTTTAACATGATAATCAATGACCTAGAAATCATGAAAAGTCTTAATTATAATTCACGATATGCACAACAGAATTTTTAAAATAATTCATCCGGTTTTTTCCTCTCATAAACGACGCAATTCATTCAGCGATTTAGAATATAGAAGTGAAAATATAGTTTAAGGTTTTTACATAAATTAAATTACATCATTGAAAGATATGTATGATCTTGATACAATATTATTCTTCTTATTCAATTAAATAATTCAGCATGTCGCGTTTTGTTTTATATCTCCTACCTAAATTGTTTATGTCTAGTTACTATTTACTTACGATCAGAATCATTAAGTACGAACATGGCGTTTTACATTGACTTTATTTGACTTATTAATCACATCATTATAGCACATTATAGGTTGACTAAAGTGGCTCAAGATTTGTTGAAATTCAATGGCTCAGGTATAGATGAAGTTATACCAAATTATTTATAAACCTAGAAGACCCCCAACAGTAATGAGATTATTTTTTAGATTATAGCAGATTATAGAACTAATTTTAGGTCACTAAATGTATTGACAGTTTTAAAACTTCAAAAAGAGAGTATCATACAGATTTGATGATAAGACATATTCTCAGTAAATGAAATCTAGCAAAGATGTCAGAAGTGCTTTTTTTCTAGGCAATCAATTTTAACAATTAATTGGGCTGGTTCCAGCAGTCGAAGTAGCTGATCACAACATACATATTTTAAGCCAAAAATCCCATCAAAAACTTTTGTCAATTCCAAAACTCCCAAAAAAAGAGAGATTGAACGATAAGAAAGATTCTCAGTAAATGAATAAAAGAGAGTCTAGCGCCGATTATGCTTCATATTACTCTCTCTTAGTTGATTTTAGTAAGTGGGAAAAAAACTTCCTTTCCACTCAAACACTTTTCATATTCATTTGTGCTCGTAGTTGGAACGGTTCGTAAAGAAGCTGAAAGATTATTAGCGTGACTGATTTGACTAGTAAGCAAAGTAATAAGAGGTGACTGTTATCAGTAAACAATTAAAAGAGTGAATATTACAATCATAATTGTGTGACAAATGGCATCAATTCAATATTTAATACTTGCAAGTGCAATTGTAATGCTTATGCTTGCTCATGAAGGTGAGAATCATTATAATCAAGTGACTTAATAGTCAATTCCTTAAACATGAAATTTTTTGACATCTCGCAAAAGTGCTAATTCACAATAAGGTGTTAATTAAGGTGTGATAATGTAATGAGCACATGATTAACGAGATTATATGACATAAATCAAGATGAAATGATTAGCAAACGATTATGCAATCGTTCCAAAAAATTAAGAATTTTCTCTACTGGATCCTGAAAAAAAAGTTTTTCATCGGGTCAAGGCTGGATCTTTTTTTTTCACCTTACATCTCACGATGAAAATTATCATGAAAGAAAATGAGAAGGTTGATTATATGACAAAACTGATGATAAAAATAGGTAAACGAAAATGAGAGATTTTAGTGGAACAGAAGCTTAATTATAGAATGTAACAGAAACAAAGATGGAAGAGAAAAATTTGAAGGAAAAATTTATTGATTGGATCTATCTGTGAATATGTGTGCTGTGTGCTTCTCACAACCATGCAAGACCAACGAGAAGAGAGAGAAAATTGTTAGTTCCGATGCGCGCAGGTTTAAAAACGCGCACATGTGTATGGGACACGAAATTGGATGAAAATTTGTGAGAGGAACAGCTGATTTTCTTCCATGGCATTTCCTCATCATTCATACGTTTTCATACCGGTATTGTACAATTTGTTGAATGAATGCAAATCAGAATCTATCGTTTGACTGAACTTACTGACTTGCTATTGGGCAAATCCACGAAGCTGTGTAATTACATATAAATTAAAAGTACAGTTTATATTTTTAAGCAGGCCTTAAAGTCTTTGAAAGCATGTGTTTAACTTAATTTAATTATTTATCCAGGATTGAGTAAAATTTTGAGGTCGCAAATTTAAATATCTTAACTGCTTGGAAAAATTTTAACTAGCGTTTTGTTAGACTTGGGAAGAAAAATTTCAAGCAATTAATTTAATTGAATTTAACAAATACTTTTAACAAAGCATATACATTTTGCCTAATAATATGATGCTACAGCATAAAAGGAACAGATCTTTTTGATTAATGTCACTTGAAAATTCAATTTTTATAAATTCTCCACTAAAACGTGACTCAGAAAGATTTACAAAACATCAAAAATCTCTTTAATTAACTTCAAATTATTACATGTATTGTAGCATTCAATATTGTTTAATAATTCGACATAACAGAGAAATAATTACTTTAAAGTTAAAAATTTGATTAAAAAAAAACAAATTTTGTTTTGTGGATTTGCCCTATTGTGAAAGGAACTTGTTTTCAAAACGAATCGTCTTACTCATAAAGAAATCGTTATCAATCAATTATCATACAAAAGCACATTTAATTGAATAAAAATGACACACTTCCTCGGACCTTTTCAATAAGCAAGTGCCTTATCACACATATATTTTAAAAATAAAAAATAAAATATGTACATTTAATACGGTTTACTTAATCTTTTGTACGTTTTGTGAGAATAATAGAGTCGCACTATAGCTACATATATATATAAACAGTCATGATTGAACGAGAATGATTGCCAATTAAAAGGAAAATTACGTCCAGTATGTGCGCACAAAGGATGAAAAGAATAAAGACATGAGAACATGAATTTTTTATGAGGATTGTTAGCGATTTACTTGCTACAGCTATTTAAACTCATACTCGTACCTCAAAAAATGCACAACTTTTCTTACTTTATCGATTTTTCCTTTTTCAAACAGGACATGCAATTAGATGTTTCGACTGTAACAGCCACACCGATGTCGGATGTTCAGATAAGGCACCACCAAAAGACTTCGAGAAAGATTGTAGCGAGCACAAAAATGGCCCTAAATATACTTTCTGTAGAAAGATAACTCAAATCATTGAATTCTCAGTTAATAATTGTAAGTTACTGCTTCCATAAAGGTGTTCATGCTATGTTTTTTGAGTCAAAAATACACAGTTACAGTAGCAAAAGTTATTTGCATATTACAAGTAAATAGGTTGTTATTTAATGTAGGAATTCTTCTATTCGAAAGGATATTGCATGTAGCTAGGCATGCAATGTACTTTTATGTAAAGTATTAACTATTAAGTAATGAGCTTGAAAAATTGGAGGATTTCATTGCATTTGTGTTTTCAAAAAATTCAAATTTTGACCGTTAAATAATGACTTTAGCATTGAACACGTGACACATATCAAAATAGTCTAAAATTAATTTCTTTTTTTTTGATAAACAGTGCCTCCAGACACGAGAACAATTCGCTCATGCGGATATGAAGTAGGCAATTATCCAAATAAATGCTATCAGCGTTCAGGGTTCGGTGGCAGACAAGAAGTTTGCGCTTGTGATGGAGATCTGTGCAATGGTGCTGTCAAAATTAAGGCAACTCTTGGAGTTCTTTTAGCAGTTCTCGTTGCTTTCATCGCCCGCGTTTAAGAGCTTTAGCTTAGTAAGCATAATTAAATGCTTCAAACAATTTTTATTTTTCTTTTAACTTCCTGGTTTTTGTTTGGTTCCTAAATTCTAAAGCGGCAAATTCTAATTTTTGAGTTTTATGCTGTTCCTTTTTAGATGTGTTTTAAGTTCAATAGTTACAAAAAATATATTCAATTCAAATTTATCAATTTTTTTTTAAAAAAAGTTTTTAACAAAATGTTTAATATGGAAAAGTTTTACTGTCGCAAACAACACAAAAAAAAAACTCTTCGTAAGCATAAATAAATTAAATTACGCAACAAATTTGAATATCAAGAAATTGATTTTTAAAACAAATATTAAAAAGATGATGATCTGCATTAAAAAAAATATGAGAATCTATTAGGGCTTTAACTTGGATAATTTTTAATGTTTAAGAGAAGTTCTTTGTTAAATTTGGTGAAATAAAAAAAGCCTAAATTTGTTTTAATTATAAATAAAAAATTGATGATAAAGAGATACTATATAGTTGATGATTGGAATGAAGGAAATGTAGCTGGTAGTTTAGTTAATTATAATAAACATGAAAAAATCCACAATTACGTACAATAGCGCTAATCTATATTCTATACATAAATGTCTCTGACCACAAACTTATTTGTCGACGTTTTTTAAATTATTAAACACCGTCTATATTTAATACATATAATAAAATGAAAGGATGATGAGGAATACCGTATTCACAAATGAGGCCATAGAACAATTAAAGAAATCACATACACACACAAACAGATGTTATTTAAATAATAATTTATGTTTTATGAAAAGGTTTGCAGATAAATAATGTTCTACTGCCAAAATTGCTGTTATCACACAACAAGAAATGTCTTTAATTAAATAAATTCCTTTAAAAACAATCCTCATTGCCTTTTATTGCTTAATTATGTTTTTTCAGTAAAATGTACGAATACAGTTAAGCACAATTTGAAAGCTAACCGTCAAAAAATATTTGTAAAATGGTCAAAAAATAACGGTAAAAATAAGTTCAAAATTTTATTGGAAAGCTACTTTTTTCGCGGATGCACATTGTAAATAAATCAATTGCAAAAAATCAAGCAAAACAGAAAAATATTAATTATAGTGTAATGGAGCTAAATGGATTTGTCGGACGTGGTCGAGGTGTCTCAACAAATGTTCCTGAATCGGAACTTATAGAACAAGTGAAGCAGAGACCGTTATTATATGATAAAAACGTGAAAGATTACAGAAAGGTAAACATTTCATTAAAAGCAGCTATAACTTATGATTCTATAGCTCTAATTTAATACAGCCAGGCATATCTGAACAGGCATGGATGGAAGTAGCGAATGTTTTACAAACAACAGTCACAAATTGCAGAAAGCGATGGAAATCATTAAGAGATACATTCATTAAATATTATCGATTAGATGTAATAAACAGGAAGAATGGCAAGAAAAACAGGAAAACTTGGGTCTATTACTCAGATCTAGCATTCTTAATTCCACATGTCGACCTATATAGACTCGATGATAGTATGAAAGGAAATGAGAGTAGTCATAGTGACACAATATATATGAAGGAGGACTATTTAGAGGCAGACGACAAGCATATATACTTTACACAAGACGAAACAACAGAGAATGACGATAGTGTAACATACCAAATAAAAATAGCTAAAGGATATGATGAAGAACATATTTCCGAAAGTATAGAGGAAGATAATTTATTGGAAGGACATTATGTTGAGGAAAGACTTGACGATAGTGCGATTATGGACCTAGAAGATCAAGTTGTGGTCAACAAAGTCATGCAAAAATTAGAAACTAATGAACACACATACATGGTAATAGAACAGGCAAGCGAGGAGTCAATAAAGGAATCAGAACTTGAAGATACAAACAGTTCCTATCACCAGCAGTCATTTAAAACAGAAAATTTAGAATCACATATACACACACTTCCATCATCATCACAACAGAAACATGTCGTAGATCCAGACGAAAGGTATTTATTGTCATGCTTGCCAGCATTTAAGAGGCTTACACCACAACAAAAAGGACTTATTCGTATGGGAATAGAAAGGCTTTTTTACGAAGTCGAATTTCAAAATGACGATGAACCGAGGAACAAGAAGATGCGAAATAGTTAAGCTTATGCTTACTTCCTGTATACAATTGACATTTTATTTTAAATATCAAGATATTTTTCAACTTCAATCATTTCTGGACTTTCATTTGCATTCAAATTTTTAGCTGTCAAGTAGCAATCCAGTGCTGTATCGATTTTTTTCAGTTTACAACTTGTAAGTGCTAATAATGTCCAATTATCACTCGAATGCTTATTAATCACATTTGCTTCTATTAAAGACTTTTCAGCATGATGGTAAATCATCAATTTAAGGTCAGTTCTTCCAAGTCCCATAAAGCTATCAAAGGTTCCAAAATTTTTGCAACAATAGGTGAAATATCTCTTAGCTTTATGAAACATTTCCATCTCTTTTAGGTACCAAGAACCAGTTCTTATCGCGGGCGTCAAAGGAAATGAAAGTTCAAATTTAAGGCACAAGTTAAAAGCTATTTCATATTCAGAAATTGCCTTCCAATCCTCTTTGATCTCGTAAAGAACATTTCCTTTCAATATCCTTACAATAATTTCGTTTTCATCGTCAATGCTGATTCGTTTAAGTATATCCAATGCAACTTGATATTTTTTTGATTCAATTAATTCAATGATTTCAATGTAAATCCTCTCGATTGACCATTCCAAGCTTTGATATCCATTTTCAGCATAAATCTTAGTTATTGCATAATATTCAAGCACAGAGAATTTAAGTTGGTGCCATAAAATATTTGTTATTGGATCCATGAAAATAATTTCAGGATGAATGACAGAGTCGTTTAATTTGTAATTTGGAATGAACTCAGTTCCTTGAATTTTAATGCTGCAAAACCTGACGCCTGAGATGTTTCCTATTTTTCCATAAAAACTCGACAGCAATATCCAATATTCCATGCTTTGTGGCTTTAATTTCGTCAGAATTGTTACTAAGAAAATTGCCATGTCAAAATTATTCTTATGGACGCACAAATAGGATAGGATGTATAGCGAAAATGAACAGTACCTTGAAACTCTAAATAATTTCCTTAGCATAATTTCAAGTTCATCATACTTTTTGAGTTTCAAAAGATATAAAGCTTTTTCTCTCATTTTTGCCTCATCAAAACTTTCAGTTAATTCTCTTTCAATCAGTTCTTCTGCCTTTTTTGGATTTCCATGTCTAATGTATTCTTCAATTTGCCATTTACAGATTTTCTCGTCTAGAAGCACTTTTAGATCTGTCAACTTTTTTTGGTACCTATCAATTAAAATTGAATTGATTTGCTTATTTAAGCTTTTGAAAGCTTTCATCATTAAAAGCTTAAATTCATGATTAGTTCTTGTCTTTTCTTCCTGATTAAATGTATTCCCAATTATTGTTGTAAGCACTTTCTTGAAGTCTGTTTTGAGGCAAAATTCATTGGAATCAGCAAACTTTTTTAAGTCAACCAAAAGTTCCTCTTCACTTACATTTGAATGACAATCAATGAACTTTTCTAGGACATTAGACATTTGTTTAATAATGCAATGTAAATCCTTTTGTGATTGCTGCATGACAAAATCTTCCTGCTTGATTTCTAATTTGTATGGAAACTTATTGTTAAGCTCATCCATTAATGATTCTAGTCTCTGTTCTTGGTTTAATGCTTTTGAGAGCTTTACGTTGATTTTTAGTGCTACATATTTGTCATCAATAATTAAAGAAGTTAGAACATCTTCAGCAACAATACTGTCAAGTGTTTTCATTGATTTTTTGCTACTTCTTTTTTTGATACTAGCTGTTTCATTGACTACAAAACATGCTTCTTGCAGGGACTGAGTAAATATCAGCTTGTTGTTCCATTCGTAAATCGGAACTAGGTAATTTACATCAGTCACTTCCGGATGATTGAAAATTGTTAAGTCTAAGCATGTCATATACAGTTTATCATTTAATTTCAGTTCTATTACAATTTTTTGTCCATTCCTGATCATGTCATGAAGCATGATCGTTCCAAAATCAGTTTGAAAATTCTCGTACCCAAGATTGATTATAGAGGAACTGTCTTTAATTTCAAAGTTCCTTTCTTTCAGCAATTCATCCATTAGATAAGAATTGTCACCAATTTTAGACGCAGACGTGACTTTTTGCATGAACACTGCTCGAAACTTTTTATCAAATGGAAACTGAAAAGCAGCTTCATAAATTTCGTCCTGACTTAATGGAAAGTTGTGGACATTATCAATTCGAATTGATAATGTTGAGTCTAGTTTTGGGGCATTTTCAAATTTAATTTTATAAGTCAAAATGACTTCAGTTTTTTCAGAATTTATGACATTTAAGCTGATACATTGAACATGCTTGCATTTTTGCCTAAGATCCTTAAGATTTTCGAGCAGGTTGATTAAACCGTTTGCAAACAGGATCTGGAAATTTTCAGATTTTCTCTTCAACCTGCCTTCCAATTTCTTTGAATGTAACTGGACTATAGAATTTAAATACATTTTTAATAGGCCTCGCATTTTTTTAAGGATGTGTTAAGGTTTTGTGATTTTTTATAAGTAGGTAGGTAACTGTAAACTTTGAAGAAGTGAATTGTACAACAATAGGTGGGGATTTCAATTCTCTTCTTAAAAAAATAACTCTTAAATTTCACTTTTAAGGATTAGGAGATAATCAAGAAAAACACAGCGTTTTTCACGTCGAATTTGTTTGTGATGATGCTCTAGTAAAATAAAATTTGTGCTACTTACTTTTTACAGGACATCCAAAAGTTTGAAACATAAAATATTCCTCATTTTCAAGGCAGACTTCTGATTTTAATATAAAATTTTGCTTTATTAATTGAGCTCCATCGATAAGTATGATATTATCATCCTGCATGCTTCCTATTTTAGTCCCCAAAAAATCCAATGACAGTTCAACTTCCTTAGACTCGAAATCATCACTAATGCCATTTATGTAGACTTCCTTAAAGTCGATAAAAACTTGGAAATTTTCACACATTTTAATTATTCAAGAAAAGTTCAATTAAATGAAAACCATGAAAACTATGATCATGCTATTTTACGTCATTTTAATAAACTTGCTACTTATTAAAACTTTTTATACATTTTAATTAATCTATTGGGCTGTCACTGCTTGATGTGGCTTTGCATAACCCGGAAGAGGTAGATTAAGTCCGTCTTTGCTTTCGAAAAAGGTATAGGATAGTGTAATTTCATCAACAAACTCCATCTTTGGATCTTTAACAAATTCTGGATCAATGAAAAAGAAAACTGGCATATCCACCTAAAAAGACATTAATTCGAGTGCCTATTAAAATTTTCTTTGCATAATATTCAAATTCAAAAAACCGATACCTCGAAACATGCTATTTTAAATGGTTTTGATTCACAAAAAACTTTTTACTATTTTATCAAAAAATTGTAAGAATAAATCAAGTTTAAAGCTATCGGTTTTTAAAATTCATTGCTGGATCATGAAATAATTTAAGGTTTCTTCCAAATTTACCTCCTCAAATGGGTTAAGCTGCTGTTCCTCAAAGCAGAAGCACTGAATTTTGTTAAAATATGCTCCAGCCTCAAACGGGATTACGTTGTAAGTAGAAATGCCAATAACTGGTCTATCAGTGGGATTTGTTGCTTTATAAAATGCTAAAGCGGTTTCGCCTGGACTTACTCTAATCTCATATTGCTGTGGCTTAAAATTCCATCTCATAGAAGCTCCTAAATCAGCATTAAACTTAATTTTGATGATCCGATCTTTGACTGCTTCCATTGTTTCTATTTTTGATCCATCATGCTGCACTCCAGTCGTTCCACCATAACTGTATGCTGAGCAAAACATTCTATATAAAGGAACTGCTGCATAGCTAAGTCCAACAGTTAAAACACCGACTCCACTTATGTATAATAATGTTGATTTAATTTTTTTATTTTGTGAACTTTTTGGTGCTTGACTACTTGTCTTTCTAAGCTGTGACAGGATGTTTGTATTTATTATGCTTTTTAACAACCTCGGTTTGAGTCTAAAAACTGTATTAAGCATGACTTTTAATTAATTTTAATGATTCTAATTTAAAAATATTATTGAATTTGTTTTGTTGACATCCGTGAAATCGAGATAGTTTCGTACCCCTTGAAATCCATTAAAATTTCAAGTTAAAAGAGAATTTGTAGAAAAAGGAAAATATTAAGTTAATTATAGTATTTTAAATGGATGCTGCATTTAAATTAAAGACTCAAAATGAGCGTGCAAAAGTTGAGGATCTTTTCGAGTTCGAAGGTATGCAATTTAAGTCAGGAAATGCTAATTATTAAATAGTAATGTTTTTCCAATATTTAATTGACTTTAAAAAGGCTGTAAAGTTGGACGAGGAACATATGGGCATGTATATAAAGCACACCGTAAAGAAGCTAATGATGCAAAAGACTATGCTTTGAAGCAAATTGAAGGAACTGGATTATCTATGTCTGCATGTCGAGAAATTGCTTTACTAAGAGAATTAAAGCATCCGAATGTAATTAATCTCATTCGTGTCTTTTTATCTCATAATGACAGAAAGGTTTGGCTCTTATTTGATTATGCTGAACATGATTTATGGCACATAATTAAGTTCCATCGAGCAGCAAAAGCAGCAAAAAAGCCTGTAATGGTACCAAAAGCTATGGTGAAGAGCTTACTGTATCAAATCTTGGATGGAATTCATTACTTACACACAAATTGGGTATTACATCGTGATTTGAAACCTGCTAATATTTTAGTGATGGGTGAAGGAAATGAACGAGGACGAGTTAAAATAGCAGACATGGGATTTGCTCGATTATTCAATGCTCCTTTAAAGCCTTTGGCTGATTTGGATCCAGTTGTTGTCACTTTTTGGTACAGAGCTCCTGAACTACTATTAGGTGCAAGGCATTATACAAAAGCTATAGATATATGGGCTATTGGATGTATATTTGCAGAATTATTGACATCTGAGCCAATTTTCCATTGCAGACAGGAAGATATTAAGACTAGTAATCCTTATCATCATGATCAATTGGACAGAATATTTAATGTCATGGGATTTCCACAAGATAAAGACTGGGAGGATATAAGAAAAATGCCTGAACATAATACATTGCTAAAGGACTTTAAAAGATCAAATTATGCAAACTGTTCATTAGTTAAATACATGGAACGTCATAAAATTAAGCCAGACTGTAAAGCATTCCATTTACTTCAAAAATTGTTACTTATGGATCCAAATAAGAGAATCACATCAGAACAAGCTATGCAGGATCCTTACTTCTCTGAAGAACCACTTCCGACACAAGATGTGTTTGCTGGCTTTGCGATACCTTATCCTAAAAGAGAATTCTTGACTGACGATGAAGAGGAAAAAAATGACAATAAGCAGCGGCAAGCACAAAATCAACAATCTCAAAATCAGGCTCAACAGGCACAAAATAATCAACAAAATAATGGAAATTCTAACAATGATAATTCCAATTCTGGCAAACGAGCACGGATGTCTGGGAATCAGCAGAATAATCAGAATCAAATGCAGGAGAATCAGCATCAATATCAACAGATGTCACTTCTTGGACAAATGCAGAGCCAAATGCAAAATAACTATCAACAGAGATATTAATTTAGACTTTAAGAGTTCACAGTTTTAACTACTAATAAATTTTACTTTCTGGAAATCTAGTTTTTAAAAAGGAACGACTAAAAACTTTTCAAATCAAGTTCTTTAATTTTCAAATATTTTTTGGTCGTTACTTTTTTTAAAGTTGAATTCAGTAAGAAATTTCCTTATCCAAATGTTTTTATTCATGCTTCATGAACTTCAATATCCCAGTACAAAAATATCCAAAAAATAATTAATTCAGGAGCGAACGATGTTCTGTAAATCTCTTTCTTCCCAAAGTAACTTTCCAGAACAGACACAAATTCTTTTAAAATTTTGAAAAATTCCAGCAGATCGAGAAATAAGTCCACATGATAATTTCTGATTCTGTGAATCTGAAATGCAAACTCCACGTCCAATAAGGTCTGGAATTGATAGATTATTGTCGATTGTTCTAATTGCTAATCTTCCTGTGTCACTGGATTTAATGCTATATGTTGCATTCTGATAAACTTCTCCTAAATTCTTACATCCATCACTGATGTCTCCATACTCATAAATGCTTACAAAATGATCTTTGGACTTAGCTAAGCCATCAATAACACCGTCAATGACTATACCTTTTTTATTTGGAATGCTGCAAAATCTAAAAACTCCTTTGATTTCTGTGATGTTTCCTTTATCAATAATTCCTACAGCTGACTGATCACTAAAACCAACAAGCGCTGACTCTAATCCACAAGATTCTATAATTTCATGAAGTGTTACCCAAGCTAAACATGAATCAATTACTATTCTTGCTTCATTATCGTCGATAACCGTATTGATACTGGATTCTGATAACTTTGCCTGCTCTCTCAGCTTATTCTTAATTTTCTCCACACATTCACTGCCTTTAATCTTTACAGCAAACTCTACTCTTGTTGTTTCAGTCATTTTTGGTGGAACAAAACTGATTGTTGTTGTTGAACTTATATTTTTTTTTTTAAATTAAACTCTTGATTTATTATATTCACACCGTTTTCACGTGTGAATCTATTGGTTTCAGGGTTGTTAAAACATATTCTATTTTACAGAATATGTACACATATCACACACATTTTGCATGTTCATGTGTACAATGTGTGGCAGAATTCATATGTTAGCAGATAATATATGTCACACATTGCATATTTGCCATATTCTATGTGTGACACATTATTTTGTGTCACATATGAAAATGTGTGATGTGTGATGTGTGACATATATTTATGTGTGTAGATATCATGTGTGAACATGCAAAATCTGCACATATTTATTAATTTGCGGGACTAAAGTGATATTTTTTTGTAAAATTAATTTAAAAAAATTATTGATTAATAATCAAAACAGTCAAATATTGCATAAAAGAGGATATTTTGTCGAAGATATGTTCATCAAACTGTTTTGGTTATGTATCAATAATTTTTTTAAATTAATTTTACAAAAAACTACCACTTTAGTCTCGCAAATTAATAAATATGTGCAGATTTTGCATGTTCACACATGATATCTACACACATAAATATGTGTCACCAGGGTTGCAAAAACATATTATGTTTTACAGAATATGCGCATATATGTGACATATTTTATGTGTGACACATGAAATTATGTCACACATTTTACATGTTAACACATTTTTTTCTGCAATATGTCAAACGTTTTTCCTGTCAAACATATTCATGTGTCACATATTTTTCCTGTCACATAATATGTTTTTCAAACATACAATATTTTTTTATAAATTTTTGACAAATTTTTGATTTTTTGGTCTAAGTTGGATAAAATTTAAAATTTATTAAATTTGGACCTTAAGAAACCTTTCCTGTTAGTAAAAAATGAGCAGAAACAATTGGAAAATGTTATTTATAAGCAGTAAAAAATGTTGTTGTCACTCAATATTTTCAATTTTTTGATTTTTTAGCATTAATGATATGCTTAGAGTCAAATTTGATAGAAAATTAATTTTTCGACCTTTTTAATCTAATTTGGATTCCAAAAAAACGGTAAATACATATTTTATGTTAGAAAAACATAATATGTGACACATAAAAAATGTGAAAGGTAAAATATATGGACACATGAATAAGTTTGACAGGAAATATGTTTGACATATCGCAGAAAAAAATGTGTTAACATGTAAAATGTGTGACATAATTTCATGTGTCACAGGAAATATTTTTTTGACATGTCATCACATATTGCAGCCCTGTGTGTCACACATCACACATTTTCATATGTGACACAAAATAATGTGTCACACATCAAATATGTGCACACATCACACATAAAATATGTGCACATATGCAATGTGTGACATAAATTATCTGCCAACATATGAATTCTGCCACACATTGTACACGTGAACATATTTTTAAAAAAGGCCAGATTCTATTTTTAACCACCCTGATTGGTTTTGTTCAGATTCGTTTTCTCACTCGTATTTTGTGAGAAAACGAAGCAAAATTGGTTATTAATAGTCCTAGAAGAAAAGTTTGTCCTTGAAATTTTACATCATTTTCAAAAAACGGATTTCAAATTGGTTGCGGCATTGCCGAGAAAATCGCAAAATACGCTTTCTGTAAGCAAACAAGCGAGCAAGCAAGCAAGCAAGTTAATCAGCACGAAATCTCAATAACGAGACTTCGTAGAGACTTCTAGTTTTTTACATTTGATCCGTGCTGCTCTATAGAAGAGCTGTGTTGTTTTTAGGCAAGGTAGGAACAGCCGTTGCTTCAGAAAAAGCAAAAAACTTTCCTTTCTTACGAATTTTTCAAATTAAAAGTTCACTGTGATTTTTTTTAAATTAAACTTTGGATGAAAAAAATTATTGACCATAGTCAATATCAATTTTGTTATTTTTTTCTTCGAGGGTTTATCCAAATGGATTGAAACTTTGCATAAATATTCTAGTGCTTAAAACAAATGCAAATAAAACATCTTAAAATTTTTTTGAGCAAAGAACCAAGAAGGAAATACATTTTCAATTTTGGACTAGGGGCGACCCTAGTCAAAATCAATTTTGTCACTTTTTTCTTCGAGGGTTTATCCAAATGGATTGAAACTTTGCATAAATATTTTAGTGCTTAAAACAAATGCAAATAAAACATCCTAAAATTTTTTTGAGCAAAGAACCAAGTAGGAAATACATTTTCAATTTTGGACTAGGGGCGACCCTAGTCAAAATCAATTTTGTCACTTTTTTCTTCGAGGGTTTATCCAAATGGATTGAAACTTTGCCTAAATATTTTAGTGCTTAAAACAAATACAAATAAAACATTTTAAAATGTTTTTGAGCAAAGAACCAAGTAGGAAATACATTTTCAATTTTGGACTAGGGGCGACCATAGTCAGAATCAATTTTGTCACTTTTTTATTCGAGGGTCTATCCAAATGGATTGAAACTTTGCCTAAATATTCTAGTGCTTAAAACAAATACAAATAAAACATTTTAAAATGTTTTTGAGCAAAGAACCAAGTAGGAAATACTTTTTCAATTTTGGACTAGGGGCGACCCTAGTCCAAATCAATTTTGTCACTTTTTTCTTCGAGGGTTTATCCAAATGGATTGAAACTTTGCCTAAATATTCTACTGCTTAAAACAAATACAAATAAAACATCCTAAAATTTTTTGAGCAAAGAACCAAGTAGGAAATACATTTTCAATTTTGGACTAAGGGCGACCCTAGTCAAAATCAATTTTGTCACTTTTTTCTTCGAGGGTTTATCCAAATGGATTGAAACTTTGCATAAATATTTTAGTGCTTAAAACAAATGCAAATGAAACGTCCTACAATTTTTTTGAGCAAAGAACCAAGAAGGAAATACATTTTCAATTTTGGACTAAGGGCGACCCTAGTCAAAATAAATTTTGTCATTTTTTTTCTTCGAGGGTTTATCCAAATGGATTGAAACTTTGCATAAATATTCTAGTGCTTAAAACAAATGCAAATAAAACATCCATAAAAATTTTTTTGAGCAAAGAACCAAGAAGGAAATACATTTTCAATTTTGGACTAAGGGCGACCCTAGTCAAAATCAATTTTGTCACTTTTTTCTTCGAGGGTTTATCCAAATGGATTGAAACTTTGCATAAATATTCTAGTGCTTAAAACAAATGCAAATAAAACATCCTAAAATTTTTTTGAGCAAAGAACCAAGTAGGAAATACATTTTCAATTTTGGACTAGGGGCGACCCTAGTCAAAATCAATTTTGTCACTTTTTTCTTCGAGGGTTTATCCAAATGGATTGAAACTTTGCATAAATATTCTAGTGTTTAAAACAAATGCAAATAAAACATCCTAAAATTTTTTTGAGCAAAGAACCAAGAAGGAAATACATTTTCAATTTTGGACTAGGGGCGACCCTAGTCAAAATCAATTTTGTCATTTTTTTTCTTCGAGGGTTTATCCAAATGGATTGAAACTTTGCATAAATATTCTAGTGCTTAAAACAAATGCAAATAAAACATCCTAAAATTTTTTTGAGCAAAGAACCAAGAAGGAAATACATTTTCAATTTTGGACTAGGGGCGACCCTAGTCAAAATCAATTTTGTCACTTTTTTCTTCGAGGGTTTATCCAAATGGATTGAAACTTTGCATAAATATTTTAGTGCTTAAAACAAATGCAAATAAAACATCCTAAAATTTTTCTGAGCAAAGAACCAAGAAGGAAATACATTTTCAATTTTGGACTAGGGGCGACCCTAGTCAAAATCAATTTTGTCACTTTTTTCTTCGAGGGTTTATCCAAATGGATTGAAACTTTGCATAAATATTCTAGTGCTTAAAACAAATGCAAATAAAACGTCCTACAATTTTTTTGAGCAAAGAACCAAGAAGGAAATACATTTTCAATTTTGGACTAGGGGCGAACCTAGTCAAAATCAATTTTGTCACTTTTTTCTTCGAGGGTCTATCCAAATGGATTGAAACTTTGCCTAAATATTCAACTGCTTAAAACAAATACAAATAAAACATTTTAAAATGTTTTTGAGCAAAGAACCAAGTAGGAAATACTTTTTCAATTTTGGACTAGGGGCGACCCTAGTCCAAATCAATTTTGTCACTTTTTTCTTCGAGGGTTTATCCAAATGGATTGAAACTTTGCCTAAATATTCTACTGCTTAAAACAAATACAAATAAAACATCCTAAAATTTTTTTGAGCAAAGAACCAAGTAGGAAATACATTTTCAATTTTGGACTAAGGGCGACCCTAGTCAAAATCAATTTTGTCACTTTTTTCTTCGAGGGTTTATCCAAATGGATTGAAACTTTGCATAAATATTCTAGTGCTTAAAACAAATGCAAATAAAACATCCTAAAATTTTTTTGAGCAAAGAACCAAGTAGGAAATACATTTTCAATTTTGGACTAGGGGCGACCCTAGTCAAAATCAATTTTATCACTTTTTTCTTCGAGGGTCTATCCAAATGGATTGAAACTTTGCATAAATATTCTAGTGCTTAAAACAAATACAAATAAAACATCCTAAAATTTTTTTGAGCTAAGAACCAAGTAGGAAATACATTTTCAATTTTGGACTAGGGGCGACCCTAGTCAAAATCAATTTTGTCACTTTTTTCTTCGAGGGTTTATCCAAATGGATTGAAACTTTGCATAAATATTCTAGTGCTTAAAACAAATGCAAATAAAACATCCTAAAATTTTTTTGAGCAAAGAACCAAGAAGGAAATACATTTTCAATTTTTGACTAGGGGCGACCCTAGTCATAATCAATTTTGTCACTTTTTTCTTCGAGGGTTTATCCAAATGGATTGAAACTTTGCATAAATATTCAACTGCTTAAAACAAATACAAATAAAACATCTTAAAATGTTTTTGAGCAAAGAACCAAGTAGGAAATACATTTTCAATTTTGGACTAGGGGCGACCCTAGTCAAAATCAATT